TGGAATTGCAGCCACTTGTCGACGTAAGAGCCGATCTCCTGCAGTTTCTTCTCGACAGACACGTACACGCGGCTGAGTAAGTCGGTGCAATCGCTGGGAAGGTCGTCAAAGTGCGGTTCGTCCAATGTGGTAGTCGTCAAAGTCATTTGGTATCGCGTGGCTTTAATCTTCTTCAGATTGCAGACGATTCCGAGCCACTCGTGGAGTTGAACGAACCAGCTCGAGCGGGAGTATTCCAGTGGAGGGTCCAAGTAGATCACCTGATTCCGCATGGACAACTCAAGGATCAGACGCTTGATTGTAGGTCCTTCTTGTACAGCCTCTTCGCCGTTTTCTGTCACTTGTTTACGGCGCCCATCGTCGAGATAGTCGTCCTCAAAGGCATTAATCCAAGCCAGGATAGCGTCTTGCAGACGAGTAAGAAGCACCTCCTTGAGCTTTTGGTTCATCATGTCGACCCAGTAGGGCAAGTTGACGTACTGCTCCAAGTTAAGCTGATCGACGGCAGTCTGGATGGTCTCTAGACGTGAAGTGAAGGCGCTGGCCTCGTAGGGGCAAGTGTTGAGCTCAATAAGCGCCTTCTCCACGGTCGCGTGGATTGACGCCAGTGAAGCAGTCTTGGCCTGGAGCAGGGACACAGCCGCGGCAAACTCTCGAATGAAGAGGCTGTGCTTGCTCTCGGATGGCTTAGAAAGCCCAAATTCGGACACGTTGGGCAAGGTAGCGTTGTTTTTGGTGGAGAAGAAGATCTCGTGAGAGTTGACAAATGACTCCCATCGGAGAGGCACACCTCTGGACACCAGAGCATAGACGTCGTTCTTGTATCCATACACAAGCACGGCCTCTTCGCCCATCTCGGAGATTTGCCGCATCGTCTGCGAAAAGGTACGAACGCTCTCCATGAGACTGACTGCAAAAGGGTAGACACGCTTGGCATCCTTGGACACATTGTTGATTGAATGAGGAACAGCATAGTTTTGCCACATGAGGTTACGTGTCTCTTTGAAGAGGGTGATGACCTGAGGATCAAAGTTGACCATGAGTTCGTAGCTGTTGCCCGTAGATCGCTGGCGACGAATATCAAAGAGGAAGCCAGAAATGGAGATTTGGCGGCGCTGAACATCGTCGAGCCAAGCTTTGTAAATGGTTTGCGTATCCAGCTTCTTCCGGAAAAGATTGCTCTCGCTCTGCAGCTTCTGACCTTCGGCGTGGATGGCCCACTCAGAACCCAGCACGTCCTCGACCTTCTTCATGTAGTTGTCGAGCTGATGCTCAATTTGTCGCGCCCAGATAATGGCACCAGAAACAGGCGGCAAATCACGCAATTGGGCCATGGCGTGAGCTTCGGAGTGGCCATACTGTTGCTTGAAGCGCTCGTGAAGGCCGTGGATGGCTTGTTTCACGTGCTCCATCAACTGGTTCTGGTACTCGGCAATAGCACCACGAATCTTTGGGCGCACGAAAAGAGCGTTGAACTTGGAGAAGACGCGGAACATCTCGTTGGCATTCTTTGCCGTCGCCAGGCGATCTCTCAGGCGCGCAATGATGGAGTTTTCAACCCGAGAAGTCCGCTCATTGTACATGTTCTCAGCCTTGGCCCATCTCTCGGTGCCCTCAGGGGAAACATCCAAGAGGTCGACGTTCTTCAACGCCTCCCAGGCCTGCTTGACTTCTTCGACGGCGTCCACATCGCCCATCTCTTCAACAACGACTACGCCGTTGGTGTTGGTCGTTTCCGTCAAGCCGCTCACAGTAGCCTTGGGACCGAGAACATTGACAATGGTCCGCTGCAGCTGCTCGTGGTTGTCGCGGAAAGTGCTGACGTACTTGAGACGGCCTTGAAGCTCGGCATGCTTCGGGTTGACCTTGATGGGGATGAACTTTTCGTTTCTCCTACGCGTTACCTCACGCGCGACATTGGTAAACTCCTTGATGCTCTCATCCCATGTAGTGAAGATGTCGTCGCTTGCCTTCATAATGGCCTTGAACTCAGTGTAGTCGAGGTTTACGAGCTCCGTGCCGGGCAAAAGTCGGTGCAGCACCTCGTCCAAGTCTCCAGAAATAGCTTCGACCAAAGGGAGGGCTCTCCGAATGGGGTACGGGCAGATTCTGAGCTTCCTGTTCAAATGGCCAAAGATCTGCACGATAGCGTCCTTGACCTTGGAAAGATAGGTGGCGGAAAGCAGTTCGTCGAGCGGGAAGTCTCGCATGAGCTGGTTGTACTTTTGCACCTTCTCCATAGCCTCCTTCAAGCCGGTATCGGCCGTGAAACTGACAGTCGCCTGGAAACGCTTGGCGTGCTTGAGAATCTCAAGAGTCAAGAGAACTCCCTCGCTACGGAGCTGTCCTTCGATGCCCTCCAATGCAGACTCCATCGACAGCCAAAAGTTGACCTCCTGACTGGCCGTGAACTTGAAGTCTTTGGCGCTGTCGGCAGGGTCCCTGGTCATCCTCGTAATGACCTGAATCGACTTGATCCAGCTGTTCACATTGTTCTGCAAGCTGTTGAGGAAGGTACTGTCAGAGAGCACGGTGCCCGGGATGAGATCGAGTGTGGGTTTCGAGTGTCGCGAATCGGCCTCTTCCAGCGCATTTTGTACCATTGTGTGGAACATGAGGGAGACCTCGGGGATTTCGACGTTCTGCTGGAGGTGAAGCAAGCTCAACTCCAAGTCGTTCCATCTCTTCTTGGTGACGGGAATACCAGTCTTGGAGTCCACATCCGCCCTGCCCCTGGCGCCATTGGTGATTTGGCTCCGGGTGTTGGCATCAAAGTAGGGCGCCAGCGCATTATGAACATAAGAGTGCAGAATTTCAAAGGGCGAAGTGGAAGGGCCTTGCTCGCCGGCGGTGGCATTCAGGGTCGCAGGGCCTGGGAGATTAGTCAAGAGTATCTGAGAAGTGAGCGGCAGCGAAGGGTCGATCGGGCCAGGGCGCTGCTTGAGCAGCACGAGGCATGACACGGTCGTGGGAGACGAAGAGATCTCGGTCATCAGGGAGTATGTGTAGGATGGAGACTCTACACTCAAGCGGTTAGCGGTGCCTATGCAAGCCGTCAAGGGTTCTGCCTCGCGCGGGTTGAACGAACTTGAGTCTTCGGTTCCATTCTGTATCGTGGATACGGGCAAAATGTCCTTCTGAATGTACAGGGCGTTCGGGGTATCGGTAGCGAAGCGGGTGCAGCGCTGAACGGTATCAGAGTAGCGGTGCTTGTGAAGCAAGCTCCCGGGGCTTTCGAGGTCCTCGTTGGTCGCTCCGAGAGCTATCTGGCACACCAGAGCAATGTGGTCAAGAACGCGGCTCGGATCGATCGAGGATTCGGCGGTGGGCGAGGTGACGCCGTTCGCGCCCGGGATCGGGGTGGAGGCCACCTCCATGGTGGCTCGGGGTATGTGGTATGTGGTTTCGGGCGAAGAAGGACGATATTTACAGGGTCGAGGTCGGCATCATCGTAGGTACGACGGATAGACGGTAACGTGGGTAAGCGGACAGTGTATCTGTCGGGTCAAAAGAGGGCAACCTCAGGGGCGATGACCGTCGGCCGCGAGGTGGACGAGTCGTGATGTGCCGATGAGCTAAACGAAGAGAAGCGAGAGAATGGAAGATGCTAAAGGAGAGTTGTGGTATCCTTGAGTGGAACGAGGAAGTGCTTGTCGCGTTTGGGAACCGAGATGTGCTCGTCGTCCCGTTGGCGTCGTCTGGTAGTGGGTGATTATTTGCGGCAGCGGGTTTGATGCGCAGCGCAGTTTCCGGGGGTTGTCGTGGGATGAGTCTACGAAATGCAACTATGTAATGAGGTAGGTATGTCGGAGGTGAGGTGCCCGGTCTTCTGCAATGCAATGTTGACTTTCCAGACGAAGTACTGGAGAGTCCCCGGACGGGTTGACTTGTCCACGGGTTCCACTTTCACGGTTCGTTTGGGAACTTCTTGTGCAAGTGCAATGGAGCATTCCCGCGAGTATTGTACAATTACACAGGAAACGGCGGGAAAAGGTACATCGCTCCAGGGTGGGTGGTCCTTTCCTTTCCCTGAGATCCAATGTCTGCGAGTTTTAACGCGACCAGGCAGGACCCTTGTCGCGACAGCATGTGTCAGGAGGTTTGCTGGCCACTCAAGCTCAGGTACGTAGACTGTACGTAGATCGTTCGGAGTATCCATCCCGGACTACGGGAGCCATTTGATTGGCTGCACTCTCTGCCTCTGCCAAATCAAAGCTCCGATCTACCGCGACCAAATCCTCTTTTTTTTTTTTCCCCGCTCCTGTGCTGGCAATGCATGCTGCCAAAGGGGAATAAGAGGAGCTCAGACACGCTGGCCACGACACGTCCCCGTCTGTACATTTCACCTGCACCACTGGCACCAAGCATAAATCTGCATCAGGGTCCCCTCCCCTCCCTGTGCATGTCTACATATCGGGACAGGAAACAGTCAGCAGCAGCAGCAGCAGCAGCAGCAACAAGCCCCTCCCCTCCCCCTTCACTGGTGGGCTTGCATATCTGTACCTCAGAAACAACAGCTGTTCTTTCTTCACATGCGCATGTCTTAGGTAATGCAGCCAACGACGCGTCTAAATACCTAGAGGTACCTGACCTACAACTAACAGAATGCCCATCGTCAAAATACTTCTGACTCAAAGATCGAGAGCAGCATGATGAAAATGAGATGGTCTTCTGCTCCTGTTCTCTTCATAAATCGCCATCACCTGACTACCTACCACTAGAACCCCCTGGCCCGTTTGAATGGTTACCAGTACGAAAATGGCCATCCAATCTGCCACATCCAACGCCCACGCCCGCTATCCTTGGGATCCAAAATTACTCTTAAAATCGCCTCTTAATTAGCAGCGACCCCTGGATAGCTCGAGCTTGAGCTGCAGCTTCCCGCCCAGCCCGCGCGCGCCCTTGCCCCACTACCTTACCACTACTTCACCTCTCACTTTACTTTGTTCGATATTTGACCTCAAGATTTCGTTCATTGCCACATTGATATCCCACGTTGCGTTCCCTTCTGATTGCTACTTGCCGCGGTCAAGCTGGCTTTCACATATCCGTATGGTCTTCGGAGTATCACACTGTAGTCTCCGTCTTTACAAATATTTGACGTTCCCGACGCGATTTCCCGCAGCCTGTCAATGTCACGTAAAGTTGCATCAAGTAACATGGTCAAAAGTCGAATGCTTGCTTCAGTCATGTTCGCGATAGTTTGCTGGTTGAATCCCACCCAATGCAACCCCGGACTTCCAGATAAACAGAAAGAAAATAACAAAGGACAAAAAACTGCCTGATGACCCCAGCCTCTAATGGGACCGACCTCAGAACACAACCAATAATCGACTCCGCCCCGTTCAAACACCTGTTTCCATCCTGCCTTGCACTTTCGGCATACCGACGGCCATGCTTCCGCGACGCAGAAAGGAAAGCATCGTACAAGCCCCTTCTCAAACCAGTTCCCCGATCCCGATCCGTCATGCAAGGATACCCTCTGCCGAATCCTGTCCGTCCACGGCCGTACGCTACGTGCCGTTGTTGCCAGACCCTTCTGGGCCGCCGAGCCTCTCCCGTTGAACCATGACCCGTTGATTGCAAATGTCGATAAACATTTCAAACCTTTCAATGATCTGGTCCTTTTCCACCAGCTTCTTCTTCAACTCGTCCACCTCTTTTTGTTTGTCCTCCTTGTACTTGTCAAAATCCTCGCGTGCCTTGGCGAGTTCCTTTCGGAGATCTGCCCGAATCCTCTCTTCTGCCGTGGGGTGTGGTTTGCTATATATAGCCGGTCTGTTCTCTGCCAATCCCGTAGCCACCTTTTGCGGGTTGCGATTGATTGCCGCTCTGGCATTGTAGATGTCGCGAGGGAGGAGGGGAACGTGAGGATTTTCGCCTTGCAGTATCTCCAGTGTCTCGTTCACACTAACCCCTGTCGAAGAGTCAGCGGCTGCTCTTTCTCGTGGTGTTGTCTTTGCCGGCTCACCATTCTCCTTGAGAGCTTTGACGGCGGCCACCATCTTGCTGTCTAGCTTGCGAGCTGCTGGGTGGAGGAGCGGGCTTTCGCTAGGGCCGTGGTTGTGTTGCAGATGCTGAGGATCCGGTCGGTATCGAATCGTCCACTGGGTACGCTGCTCGATGGCAAAGAAGCCGAATTGGCAGTCGCATTTACGCGATGACGTCTTGCGCTTGCGGAATTCGGGGCTGACGCGACTCGGAGGCTTGCCTGCCCGGTCACACACGAACAGAACCTTTTTGAGCCCAGGAACTGTCTTCTTGGAGCGGCCAATGACAATTGCGTAACCGACTGACGTGCAGTATGCGAGAACGCTCTTATGCACCGCCTCCAAGGTTGGGAAGCTGCCTCCCTCGGGAGGAGCAGACATCATCTCTCCCATTGGCGTCCGAGGAACGAATGGCGCCCCATCAATCATCTTTGGCTCAAGGGAATCATCACCCTCGGCTAGGGATGCATCAACCTCCATACTCTCCCCATGGTGATCGCTAGCCTGGGCAGGCGTCTCGGGTCGGGCCTGGGCAGGCTGCTGAACCTGCTGCTGGACTGGAGAAGCCTGGGGGACTTGTTGGGCCTGTTGAACTTGCTGCACTTGCTGAGGCACCTGCTGGACCTGGGTAACCTGCGGCAGCTGCTGTTGAACTGTGGGAGGCGTGGGCTGTGATAGAGTCTGGGCTTGAGGGGTATGCTGCGGCACGATCGGCTCAGACTTGATCTGCTGCTGCTGCTGCTGAGCCTGCTGTTGTTGAGCCTGCTGCTGAGCCTGTTGCTGGGCTTGTTGCTGAGCTTGCTGCTGAGCCTGCTGTTGAGCCTGCTGTTGGGCTTGTTGCTGAGCCTGCTGCTGGGCTTGTTGTTGCGCCTGTTGTTGCTGTTGTTGCTGCTGCTGCTGCTGCTGTTGCTGCTGATGGAGACTGTGCTGCTGGCTCAGCTTTTGTTGCTGGCTAAGAGTCTGCTGGTGTTGCTGTTGCTGCTGCGCTAGGGTCTGCTGTTGACTCAGGCTCTGTTGGTGCTGTTGATGTTGTTGCTGGTGATGTTGCTGCTGGTGCTGTTGGTGTTGTTGATGTGCCTGGTGCTGCTGCTGGTGCTGCTGATGTTGATTATGCTGACCCAGACCTTGCTGCTGGCCGAGTCCCTGCTGTTGACCCAGGCTTTGCTGATGGCTCAAGCCCTGCTGCTGGCCGAGGCCTTGCTGGCTGAGGGCAGACTGCTGACCGAGGCCTTGATGTTGTCCCAAGCCTTGCTGCTGACCAAGGGCCTGTTGATGGCTGAGGTTTTGTTGACCTCCCAGGCCCTGCTGTTGACCCAAGCTCTGTTGTTGACCGAGTCCTTGTTGCTGACCGAGGCCATGTTGGTTGCCTAGAGGGAGGAACAGATTGGGGCCGCCTTGGCCCATCTGCTGCCTCTGGGGCGGCCCCCTCTGGCGTGCTCCCAGGGCGGCGGCATTGGGGACGTGGCTCGGGGGACGCGAGGCTCCGTTGACGTTGCCATTGACGGGCGTCGGTGTCTGGAAGAGGTGATGAGGATATTGAGCCTGGGGCGGCTGCTGAGGCGTGTATGCTTGTTGTTGATAAGGGGACGCGTTATGAGGGCCTGGCGATGGCTTTTGGGCAGGATTCGCGTGTTGCAGGGGCGGGAAGCCGCCTGGGCCGCCGTGACTTCGTCGAAGGCTACCTGGCTGGGGAAAGGCGAGGCCTGGATGGCTATTTCCCGACTGCCCCAGACTCGACATTGTGTGCCGAGGGAAGGGTGGTCGACACCTTGGATGGAGATGAGGGAGGGAGGCGAGGAGGGCGAAAAAGAAGGAGCGTGAGGTCGGACGTGTGCGTGTGTGTGAGGGTGAGGGGGGAGTCGTTCACCCGCCGAGGCGAGGCGAGGCTTCGGGGGAGAACGTGTCTGGCGAGGGTATCGTCAGAATCAACGGGTGGACAGTCGCGTGGAGTTTTCGACTTTGGACGTCGGAGTCGTTGGCTCAAAGTCGTTGAGCCTCCGCTATCGTAACCCGAATCCCAGAGATGCTCAAAAGGATGCAACAAACGAACCCTTGAATGTGGTCTGGGGGTGTCGATAATGGGATTGGGGGGAGGGAGAGGCGTGGAGTGTGTGTGGGTTCTGGGAGGTGTGCACAGAAAAGAAGGGGGAGAGCAAACATGCGAGGTGTGAAGGGTGGTGTGCGAGGAAGAGAAGGGCGGCGGACATGGAAGAGACCTGGGCGGATTGGGGGGGGAAGGGACGTGGACTTGGACTTGGGACTTGGGACTTGACACCGAGGACCGTGTCAAGTCAGAAAGGACTGGCGGGAGAAGGCCAGAGAGCACTGGTGGCAGCAGCAAAGCACACAGAAAGCCAAAGGGCGATGGGAAAGAACAGTGAGGACCAGGAGGGGAGACAGGGGAAGCCTAAGGTAAGGTAAAGCTGAAAGGCGACCGGGAGAAATTTTCTGTGGCGCGGGCCCTCTCAGGTTTCCTCAAGGTGCACCCGAACTATTTTTTTTTGGGCGGGCGCGCATCAAAGAGAGGAAAGGGACGGGGCGGCGACGGCCAAACTCAAGGGAAGGACCTGAAGCCTGAAGGGTTAGGATCGGGATCGGAGCCTGAGGAGTCAAGACTCGAGGGGGAGACCCCCCCCCCCCTTTTGCCCCCCTTGGAGGCTTTGGGCCAGCTGGCATTGGCTGGAGTGACACGTAACACGTGACTATAAGCCCAGCGGTGATGTCATCAAGAACGGACAGAGCGGCCCCCCTTTTTCTTTTTCCCTCATTGTTGGCTGCGCCGACTTCTTTTTTTAACCGCCTGCCTGGCAGTGCTGGCGCTCATCAGCGCGTGTGAGAGAGAGGGGAAAAGGAAAAAAAACAATAACAGAGCCAGAAAGGCAACGTGTTTCGTCAAGGGTGAACACGAGAGCAGCAGAATATCGGATTAAAGAACTTGCGCGCGTTCAGCCGGTTCAAAGCGCAGACGCGGGATGGGATAGGAATCCACAGTGGTGCACATCTACAATTGAGGCTCAAAAGATTGATTGATCTTGACCACTCCGTACAGGTAGGTACTCCATCCGCTACGGCATCCAGGTGCACGTAGGAACAAAAGGAGGGTGACAGCTCCTGGCGTTTACCCACGTCCCCGAACAGAGGCGTGAGACTGGAAAAATTGCAAGATGACGGGAGTGTCCGAGTGGGTGGGAAAAAAAGTGTCACTTGAGGCTCCAAAAGTCATTTTGCGCTGGCTCGACACCTCTCTGATCTGACAGCTGAGGCGTGCTGCGCTGCGATGCGCTGGACACGACTTGACGGGATGGACTTGCTTTTTTCTATTCGCACTCCTTAGCGACATAGCTGATTAGATAAGCCACCCATAGGTACCTACCTAAGGTACCTCACCTATTGGACCATCACCGCACACCTCAGGTATCCAGATTGCGCTTGTACCACCTTTTTTGCAGGTACAAGCTCCTACCAGGGCTCCAGGGGACCTCGGCCAGACCACACGCCCACGCCCCCTCCAACTGCTCTGTTCAGGTCCCCTTCCACAACCCCGAATCTCTGAACAGTACGAGTCGAGAAGAATAACTCTAGGTCCTGCATATCATGCCTTTTACTTCGAGCCATCAAAAAGCGGACTATGTAGGAACGCTGTTGCCTTCTTCATGGCCACGCAACGTACAAATAAGAGAGGAAGCTCGCATCTCGTACCTAATCCTACCCAAGGTATCCGTACCTCCCGTCCCTTACGAAAACACTATCCCGTCCCGCACCCCATGCATTTACGGGGGTTTCGACGGCTCGCTACAGCACCAAGCTCCCCCTGGAAGCCCGCAAATCAGCCCTACAACCCACCCCCGGCACCTGCGCAAATGATACAAAATCGAGACCAGACAGTGAGTGAACTGGGTGGCCTGTCTGTGCTTTTCGCGGTGCTTTTCTAGTGGGGGGGGGGGGGTCCTACCTCCGCCAGTCCCAACGATGTACCTACCAGGTCCGATCCCTGCCCCAGGCTGGGCTATCAAAAGAGTGGCGTGTTTTCATATTGCCTACACCGATCTCACCGAGGTGGATGAGCTCTACTACGTATGCCAAAAGCTGCTAAAGCTCAGGTTGCCGGGTGTGTGGTAATTGTTGGGTAGAAGCCATACTTTCATATACTGCGTTTCCTGTATTCGACAAGAAATTCGTCAGCAATGTGGCATATTTAATGTCAACAATCACTGACAAATCAGTTTTATCTGTTGTCAGATTTGTTCGATTTTAGGTTGACCAAAGGTGACCAGGAAAAGCCCACCCTCGGCGAACATCTCTCTACATAATTACCATCCAGCGTGTGCCAGCATATATGTAATTTTCGAGTTAACTCCGTATCAAGCCGGGACCCTTAAATAGTACAGAGCTACAAACCAACTCCATTGATAAGTTGCTGTACTAAGGTAATGCCGGAGCCTCAAATCTTACTCCATTGAATCGGCTCTATCGCTTATATTCGAATTGCTCCATTTAATGCAATAGAATATTGCGATAGCACGTGGAATATGCTGCTCATCTGAGCTTACCTCCAAAGCAATCCGCCGAGCCGGTTTATAGCAGCTTTATCCAAAATCGTAAAACACGGAAATCGAGGAAGCAACTCAACAGTTGGGCTTGACTCTGAGTAAAATAATCCTCACAGGGAAGTGACAGTGGTGGAGCATGTAATTGTGGTCATCGAGAGGGCCACGCAACCAAAAGTTGGAATCATTGACCGGTGTTTTCAATATGAATAATCATGTTGTAATGTCATAATCGCTTTCCGTCATCGGATGCCATTAGTCCGAAACTGAGGGTATAGAATACAGTGTCTTGCCAGACGCAACCAAAAAAAGAGCAACAAAGAACCCATCTGTTCGCTCATGTGGTATCTTTACATCCATCCAGCTAACTCCAGAAATCAAACCCCATTCTATCGTGCGGATCACTGTCCAAGGAATCCGGCCTCAAAAACTCGCTAGTCTCTCTTCTTCCTCTTGCTCGGTCTCCTCTCGGTTTCCCCGTCCACAAAGTGGTTCTTGTCTTGCTGGTGCTGCTTGAGATTGTCTAGTCGGTTCTTGTACTGGCTTGTGCAGCCCGGAAACGGACACTTGTAAATCTTTGGCGGCGCCGTCGAGTGTTGCATTTTCTTGTGCTTTGCCATGCTTCCCTTGAACCACTGAGGGTGGCCCTTTGGCCGATATCCACAGATCTCACACTTCTCGTTGGCCTCAGCCTCTGTCTTTGGTGCTGAGCTCGAAGGTATATCTTCCTGGACTTTGGCCCCAGACTTGTCAGGTGCGTTGTTGGGCTGTGTCATGGATGGTGGCGTCCGGAAGGCAGGCGCTGCTGGAACTCCACCGTCCTCAAAGAACATCTTCAACTGATCCGACAAGCCATTGCTATCTACATCCATGTAAATATCAATATCAGGCATGGACGACGTGATAAGCGGCGCGTCGGTCGTCGTGGTCTGGACATCACCCCAAGTTGTGTCGCCCAAGGTCGTTGTCAGATTCATGAAATCATCGAGGGCCGCTTCGCTCGTCATCTTGGAAGGGCCCTGAGCGGCCTTCTCCAGCCTCTCCTTTGTGCAAATACCGCGAATGATAGACTCCACCAGATTGATAGCGTATGTGTAATAGCTTATCCGTGAGACAGTCCCTGGATTGGCGTAGAGGACCTCTGACTGCGCCCTGACCGTCGGGACATAATGATTAAAGTAGTTCGACAACACCATGGACCCCTTCTCATGACGTTAGCATAGTACGGTAAGAGCTCCTCTGTTACTTGATACTTACTTTACCGGCTTGCATGAGCTCTATCTCTGCTTGCCTGGCGCACCAAATATTGCCATCGTTGATGCGCTTCTGAATACGCTTCAACTTTGAACTCAGACCATCGGCGTGAGGGAAGTCTTGGTTGAGTTTGCTACGAAGTCCTTTGAAGCTTGCAGACAGTGCACCGTTCAATGGTGCCCGATTGGTATTGTATCGCCAATGCTGTGCCCAAAGTAGCGAGGTCAAGACTTCGTCCGACTCGGGTTGCCCGCTGGACAGAACAGCATAGTCCAACTCTGTATTCTAGGGTAAGCAGTTGTCAACCAGCTCAAAAGCCAGTGTATACGTACCATCTAGGAAGAACATCGCCACCTCCAACAGTTTATCCTGTCCAGGTTCATGCTGACATGTCGATAGACCAGGACCCCGTTCTTTGCCCTTTTTGCTCGACGACCGAGAAACTTCACCCCCGTATTTTCTTGATAGGACGCCATCCAGTTCCCCGGCAGATAGATCCAAGGGCTGCCAGATCGCTGATGCCACTCGAAGATAATCTGATTGCTCCCAATCAGGGAGCACATTGCCGTACAGAGATGTTTGAGCGAATAGCTCCTTGGAGTGGTCCCGAGCACCATCTTCGTGGACGACGAGCGAGATGGAGTAGATGAGATGAACGAAGCAAAGGATATCGATGCTGGTAGCAGGATGTCTACCCTCAGACATGCCCTTCAACGTAGCGAGGGCCCTGTCTGCTACTTGTTGCGGCGAGAGATCTTTCAGCTGTGCTACGAGAGCACTATATGAGACATGCTGCAGCTTTTCCAGGGAGGAGCTGATGTGAGTCTTGAGGGTATCCCACGCCGATCCGACGAGCGATTTGGCGTCGACAACATGATCAAACAAAGCCTCTTCCGATAGTTTGTCGAGCGCACGAATGTCTAATGTTCGCTGAGCAGGAACATCGGCGGCTTCGGATATTGGGCTAACGGCGGCTGGAATCTCCAATGAGGATGTCGGCTGGTCGAAATCAACGGCCGAAAGAGTCATAGGAAAAGGTTGCAGTAGAATGTCATCTGCCGGAAGCTCCGAAATGAAGTTGTATGGCTCCACGCTGTTATTTGAGTATCGACTCGCATTAGAACATCCTCTGGAGAGATATCCGCCGGAGCCGCTGTCAGAGGTCGGTGATGTGATATTTGTCTCGGTAGTTGTCCATGCGCCACTATAGGCAGATGCGGGAGAAATAAGGTAGCTAGCAGTTGTATCGGTGCTCGCGTTTGATCTCAGTGAATTGCTTGGCGATAGATTCTTAGTTCTTGTCGTAGGCTGCAGTTGTTTGCGGGGGTGGCTAAAAACGTCAGTATCGAGGGCCAACAATGGCCGGTCGGCTTTGCCCATGATGTTCTCGCCGATGTCCAAATTGTTCTGCGCGAACCAGGGATCGGGCAGAATTGAGTTTGGGTGCTGAAGATTTGCCGGAACCATGCCCGTAGATACGTGAGGTTGAGCAACCATAATGTTGTGGTTCGCGTTCGAGGGTAAAGGCCAGGGGACCTCGACCGAGTCAATCTCCAAGATCTCCGACGACGAAGAAAGCTCAACTTGATGTGGTCGGATGTGCAAGGAGTCGTCGTAACTCGGAGGTGGTGCTATGGCGACTTCGGATACGTTGTCCAGGCGGAAGTCGGGAATTCTCTGGTTATTTCTTGATTTATGCCCCAGAGATGAGAAGAAGTTTTTAGCGGCGCTCATGATCTTGCGTCTCTTTCCAGGATGGCCGAGGCATCGTTTGCAGTTTCCATCGGTGAACTTCTCGGCCTTGCTACACTCATAGCACCAATACTCGCCAGTGCCAAGCTGAGGGCATTCGTAGAGATGCTCCAGCATAGCGGCGTGATCTGGAAACCTCTTCCGACAGCGAAGCATTGGACATTCGAGACGGTCAGTGGCCGTCATCTTTTGAGACTTATTGCGCTGGACGGCGGCCCATACTATGAACCTGTGCAGAGCGCATTGGTCTGGGTTTACTGTACGAGTACTGCGATTCTTATCTCAGCCCAGGATCTACGCGGCTACAAAGAAAGCAAACCAGACTTACACGCATGATGGCGAGGTGGTTGAGTCAATAGAGGAGCGGGCCGAAGAGGCTGAAGTCGAATTCGTGGAGCAAGAGTCTCGTCGTGAGCGGCCGAAACTGAGGCGGGACGAGGTGAGAGCTCGTAGGGCTGAAGGTGAAGGGCTCTGATTCAGCGAACGGCGGTCATCCCCGAAGGGTGACAGCGAAGTCTTGGACTCCATAGTGCGCCCAAGGTGCTCCCAAGGACGGACAGGTGGAAGTCTAAAGACAAAATTGCAAGGAAAGCAACGATCAAAGACGGGTCGAGACTGATCCGCCACCCATTTTGGTTTTATTTGTCCATAGGATGAGGTGGATGAAGCCTGCAAGATTGTATCAAGGTTGGTCGGTGTCGTAGGCTCGTAGGACTCTCAGGACTTGGTAGCATCCCTAGGACTTGAGCTGCGGGTCGGGACTGGCTGAAAAAGGTGGTCTCCTCCCGGGCCACCGGCAGATGCTGTGCGTGCTGCGGAGCGAACTTTGGTCAGACCGTCCCGCCAAAGAGCGTCAGAGAGGGGGAAGAGACATTCAGTGCGGGTCGGGTGCCATCCAATGCCATACCGCGTATCCGTACTCCCTACTCTGTAGAGTGGACGGCACGGTGAGGTAAGCAGGCAGGGTGGCAGGCCTCCGAGGCTTCAAGGTGAGAGGACCAGAGGGTCACAGGGCGGAGTGAGATTTTGGCTGCGCATGTTAGCGAATTACCTTACTTTGTATGATCGTGCCATCCTGTGTCTTGGAAGGTTCGCTTTCGAGTCAACACGGAACCTTTCAATTGTTCCTTCAATAAATAGATTTCGAATCAATAAATCGTCTTGGTCTCCTGGTCATGAGCACGGATAGGCTCGGCTTGGCCTCTTCTTTCTCTGTTTCTAGATAGTAGCCTCATAGGACTCTTAACACTTGCGACCAGAAATGAGGTAGACGGCACAATCCCCCTTCTCAGTCTGGTAGTATCTTGAGATCAAAACAATAGCTGGCAACGCTCTGCATCTAGCCAACCACGGTGTTGATAGCTGCGCAGAGGCAGCAAGGCACACAGCCGATGACTAGATGGCGAGCCGCGATTGGTGTAGGAAACGCAGTCTTGAAGCGTACGGAGTAGAATGCCTTGCTATCCGCCTTGCGGTGCACTTGCATAGACGATTGGCCAGAGAACCGATACTCCGTACTGGTGGTAGCATTGGCGGAATGCAGCAAGCTGAGGCTTTCGGAGCCTCCAAAACCCGGGCCCGATACGAGGCAGGCCGAAAGTCCTGGGCTATCCGTACTAGTCGAGAGATGACATCGTAGGCTGTGCCGCAGTGGCTTTGCACATTGAGCTGTGCTGATGAACACGGAGTTCAGCCACGAGAGGGATGGAATGCCGGCGCAACCAATCCTCCGCGGAATGACAGAAGAGATGGAGTAAGCAACTGCGTGATGTCTTCGCCTCAGAGAGGTAGCGATGAGAGTACTCAATGTCGGTTGGCAGTATCGTGTAGCTGTAGGTAAACGCCGTACACATGTTTTTGGGATGGCGATATGACTTTGCGTTAAGTTGTTGTCCCTGCAGACTCTTTCTGCCAAGTGTCGGAAGAAAATTGAGTTCGCGGGAAAGACGGGATCAAGTGAAAGCCGAACTCTCTGAATATTGTTTTTTTTTCTTTTTTTTCTTTTTTCGTAAAGTTTCTTTCCTGAAGCTTCCTTACCCACTGCAAGCCCTCAACGGCAGGCACGGGGCTGTCGTGGGAGTGTCATGGCAGTGAAGAAAGGAAAGCAGCAATGCGCCCCTTGGACGGAACCTTCCCAGGTGTTGCTTTCCGACTGAAGACGGCAGGATCTTCGAAAGGCAGGTACACAGGGAAAGAACTCTCGACATGTCAAACTCATGGGACGGCATTTTGATGGCATGATGCCTCACTCTCTTGTCGGAAACCATCATGCTGGGAATCGTCCCAAGTCTTCTGTCATCCGTCGTTCAATTTATCCCCTCCTTGGGCCACACAACTGGGGTTGGCCTGCTAAACCATACCGCAGGCCACAACCCTGGCACGGCTACTGCAGATGCTTTGCAAGTTCGTTCAATCGTTCGGCCTTCAGCCCCAAGTTCACGATCACCACGGCAGACACTTCCTGCATGTCGCTCCTCTTCCGGGATATACCGGAGGTCTGGAAAGCTAACTCTTAGCTGCATCCAAGGCATCGCTCATTTTCATAGACTCTTGCCTAGTCGACAACCGGCAAGTCTCTACAGAGTAGAGCCCGTCTGCTAGCGACGCTCACTGGTCTGGACCACGGACCATCACCCTCCAACTTGACCTCACCGCTCGCTGAGGTTCGATTGCTGATGCACTACTGGACGGTCTTGATGCAACCCGTTTCCTCCCAGCACCATCGTAGATAATCGTGGTCATGCGATCTACGCCTGCAGTCCAGCCTAGCAACCTGCGCTGTCCCGTAAAGTCCCCCCAAGACCGTCGTATATCACTGTCTTGGTTAAAGACCATGTGGAAATCCCGGATGGAGCCCGCCGCTTTGGTTATCATCTACAAAAGAGCAACTCCCGGCCGGCTTCGCCGACTCAATCCGTCGCCCGCCCCAATTCGACGACTTGATGTCGACATCAGGCGGCGTCACGGGCTCCATAGCGAATGGTGACATGGGGGGGCGCGCGTTTCGAAGATCTGTTAGGGGAAAGCGGGCCCCTTTTCGGACGATGTTGTATGAAGTAGATGCTGCAACCTATCTTCAAGGAAGCATCTTATTCTTGGCACTTCACGACACTAACCTGCACGAAGACGCCCCGTTTGGCCCAGACTCCAGACCAAAAGAAGGGCATGCTTCGGGGAGAGGGCGATCGTCAAAGGGGGCACAGCATACATGCGGCAAAGCTACTTAACCGCTGTTTCAAATATCGGGCATGTGGGCGGATCGCCGGGGGCACGGCATCCCTCGACCGTTCCTTTGAACCGCATAGCTAATGTTGCAGGCTGACACGATCCAATCAGACTCCCAAAGAGCGACAAAGAGAAGATGGGGGCTTAGACATGCATCAACGGCGAGCCGTTGAGTCGTCGAGATTCGAGAGTTCGAGATGTTCTCCCCCGGACCAGAAGAGTTCTGAACCAACCATCACGTATAGCGGCTACGGCGGGCCCAATTCGATGCACCAGGAGCTGTCGACTCGTCGGTCCGTTCTGCTAGCACTTTCATGTCGTGTCATATTCGCATAGCTTCGAGCGAACTTCTCGGGGCGAATAAGAGCACAACTTGAGGCGGGCCAAAACATCTTGGCTTGGCTAGCTGCCTTTGAGCTGTCCATCAGGGGGTGACCCAGATGCGGGGATATTGTTTTAGTCGATTCCAGCTTGCAGGCATCGGTTACAGAATCGACCTCGACGGGGGTCGACATCGACTGGAGTACGTCAGCAGTTGCAGACATATTCTCTAGTCAGCTCCGCCAGAACGATGCTGGCTCCCATATGGCAAAATGTGCATTCGTCTGTACGGATACCTCTGTGTAAGTAGATGTTCACGGTGTCGTACAGGATGGGGTTGACAGGCGTAATTTAAGGTCACTCATCATGCGTACTTTTCGTAGAGATACTTGACTACCGCCCCTTTAGTCAGCAAGCTGCGGGCACTGACCAATAGCTGGTCTGCATCGCGACTTGCACACATTCTTGCTCAACCGTTACACATCGTGCCATGCGAAATCAACAGTCGTACAGACTGAATGATGGACTCCCTCCTGGTATGCTTGGCGCAAGAAAGGGAGCAGCATACTACAGGCAGATCATCAACCGCCAGTCGGTCGTTGCCTCGACAGCTGATACTGAAGTCTTCAGTGTGTTTTCCATCTGTTCGGGCCGAGACCACAGTGGGCAATACCCAGATGCCAAATGGAGCGATTGCCTGCCTGGCCCCGGGCCGCCTGTCTGCTCTAACCTCCGAGACTTTGTTTGCGGCTGATATACTTGAATTCCAACGTTCAGAGGTCGACGACGTGCCTTTTTATATTATCCAGCGCCGTTGTCTCAGCCTCCCCTATTCCGCAAAGACACATAACTGGCGCTTGAAGCTTTGAGTCTGATCTGGTTGCCTGTATGATACTGAAAAACGCGTCAAGGAGAGATATGACTCTGCTTGTAATTGTATGGAAGCAATTTCGTCAGTGGCAGTTCGAAGAATCGGCTCGTTCTTGTGGGCTGGCACATGGTTGCTCCCCTTGGCTTCCCTTCTTGCTGTGCTACTTCACTCGTGAAGTTGAGGAATGTGAACCATATGGATCTTTCATCCCCCGTCCCTTGTTGGGCCGCGAGCTTCATTTCACACATTCCAGACTGACGAACAAGTGTTTAACATTCATCAGACTTTCCAACCGATGGCCGTGGCCATTCTTACAGGACCTACAGTATGTTATATACGGAAACCTCCCCGGCCATTTAGACACCCTCATCGTTGATTAGTGCCCGATCTTTCCACAACTCTCGTCTCGTCACTCGTTCAATATCAAGCTAGTCGGTGCTTTTATTGCTCTTGTCCATTCTTTGACTCGCCAAGTTTTCGCACTTTGCAGGGGTAAATCTTGGGCATCTGACAACCACTATCAAAATGGTTTGCCTCAAGCAAGTCGCGGCCCTAGCCGCCGCATCCTACGCAGCAGGGGCCTACGCCAGCGCCATCCCCGACCTCGTCGGCGGCGACGGGTCCCCTCAGCCCTCGATCCCTGCCCTTCGTGAGCGAGGCAACGGCATCAGCAAGCGACAGACGGCCGGCGGCTTCATCAACACGGCCGCTAACCCCATCACCAGCGACTGCGGCGTGGCGGCGGAGTTCAGCCTGAACACGCTCGGCCAGCTCGTCGTCGGCGATTCAGTCATCTCCGTGAACCCTGGGACGCCCTTCATTCCCCTCCGGCCCATCAGCCCGCCAGGAAGCATCACTGTCACCTTCGCTCTCCGCAACGGCGCGCTGACCTGGTCAAACCCGGCTTTCTTCGGCGGCCAGGCTGGATTCTGCCAGGACGCGGCGGGCCAGGTGTATGCTACCTTTGCTGACCCGACCGTGTCGTACCCAGCGAACTGCGCTCCCGTTCAGCTCGGTCCAGTTGTTGGTATGTTTCCACCTTTCTGCTTAGTTTTTGTTTTGTATGGGTGGAGGCTGTAAGACGCATGTTCACTAACACCAAAAAAAAGCATCCACTTGTGGAACCAACGGCGGCACCACCACGGCGTCCGGCAGCGTTACCACTGTCGGCAGCACCATCGTCAGCACCGGCCCGGGCGGCAGCCTCACCACCACGGTCAGCAGCTTCACCACGACCGTCGCCCCGCCGTTTACCGTGCCGACGACGTCGGCCGTGGCCAACGGCACCCTCACGCTCCCGCCCGGCTTGTACACCGTAGCCGGCTTCGCCAACCCGGCAGGCGCCGTCTGCTCCATCGTCTCCGAGTCTTGGATCATTGGGCAGACGACATTGCTTTCCCCGCTTGCTACCGGCTCAGTCTAGTATGGGTTCCTTGTCTAGGGCAGTTTTCGATAAGCCGTGCATTTGGGGAATTCCAGAAGGCTGAGGTACCTCGAGGGATACAATCTTTGGGGTACGGAGTACGGATACTTGAGTGCGTGGTATTTGAGCAGGGGAAATTTTGAGGTCACATTTAGACGCATTAACAGAAAGGTTAACCAAAAAGTCAACATCAGTATTACTTGGCTAGCCATTTTGAGAATGATGCGGCAACACGGCCTTGGATTGATTGTCCCCCGGAGAATTCAACCTTATCACATCGAATCTTTGTCTAATTGGCCTCGCGAAGATGATGCGGCACGTCATTATGCAGGGCGCGGCGCTGCTCTTCTTATCTTGCCTCGTTTGATGCCGCGCTGTCACGGGCTTGCTTGTTCGCGTCTTCTTCTTACTCTGCAGCGTTGCATTTTACTCACGAGATAAGGCAATAGTTTGATCAGCCGTGAACAGCCAGTCAGTCCCCCCTTCGGCGGCGAACGGACTTTAGATATTGAACGTTGGCGGGCGATCTTGGCGAACAGACAGCAAATACGGATAACCAGGTAAGGATAGAGGGAGTAAAAGCAAGAAAAGGGCAGCAAACTGGTGGTGCGGATTAGCCGTGATTCGCGCCCGGCAAGGATGTTGCTGGTGGTGGATGCTTGTGAAGCTCAATCTGGGGGAGAAGAGGGGGGGAGGTCAATTTGGAGGGGTGAGACTCTCCTGGGTGAATGTCACCTACTCCGTACATACACTACATTGTAGGGCAGATGCTCATAGTAGTACTTTACATCCTAGATAAGCCGGTGTCGATGCTAATTGTTGGTTGAAACTGAGTTCCCTTCTTGATATTGCTCTAGAGAACTCGAGTCATCGTGTTAATCAAAAGTAGAAACTCTCACCCCGCTGTGATCCCCGTGACACACGTCATTCGGGTTGTTGACGGCAAGAACAATCCGAGAGGGTAAGGTAGGTACTTCGTAAGCTGAAGGAAGGTATGGATACTGAATCAGCGACGTGCGTGAATCCCAAGGAAGTTACAGACCACGAGGACTTGCCATTACAAGAGAGATACATAGTACATCCGTACGGGCCACGGCATCGGGAAAGAGCGAGCAACTAAGGTACCTACTTCCATTAGTGTAATGGAACTGAGCTGATTGATCTGCCCGCAATCAAACCTTCTTTTCGCGTGCTGCATCGTCTGCTGCAACTTGCCTCACTCGCATCATTGTCCCATGTCGAGCCCGAGTCGACAGATTTTCTTCTTCTTCGGCCGGACCAGCCGCTCGCTGGCTCTCTGGCTCTCTCTGCTGCAGTGCTGCCAGCCTGCCGGGCGAATTCGCTATCAGTTCCAAGACATCCAATCCAATCCCATCCTACTCATCCCACCACCACCCTCAAAATGGCGTTGGTCCATGCCATCCACACCCAAAAAGAAAAAGGCCCCAACACCCAACCACCACCACGAACCCAGTCAGTCCAGTCGTGCCAGTTCCAACACCACCAAGTTGGGTTACCAGCACACCTTCAGGTTTTTTTTCGGGGGCTTCACAGAGTGACGCCAGAGACACAGCATCTTGCAGAATCGACAATCAGCAACCTCGAGGTCTGAAGCAATGTCACCACTCCGTTTGCCAAGGTCCGGCGCGCCTAACCCCGAGAAACTCTGATATCGAAAAATTGTCGGAAAGGCAAATGTGAAAGAGTGCGAGGTGAGAGCGTCAGAGAGATACCTATGCGACCTCACCTAACCTACCTCCTCTCACATCTCATCTCTCTCTATTCGTAGAACTAGGACACGAAAGATATGTACGCAATCCATGGCCTGTGCATCGCCAATAGCTCCCTTCTGATTGCTTGCCGGCAAAGAGCTGCGACGAATGACGACTCTTCGAAACTGATGGCATCAAAGACCATCGCATCTAGACAGACGCCAAAAAAACAATAGATGATGGTTCGGAGAAAGAATCTGGGCCCAGGCCGTCGATTGGAGACCGGGGGGCCAGGGACGGCTCTAGGCTACGCTACCTACCACTACTAGGGGGGATGGGGGGAGCCTGGGAGGAGGCTAGGGAGCAAGTCACATCCATGATGCATTGGGTCACGTCGCGTTGGATCGGATCCTGACACTCGACTCACTGACAAGGACCCCTCCACCAGGCTGTGTACCCCACCACCCCCTTTGGTCTGGGCAAGGTCACAGTCTGTCAGTCTCTCACTCTCTCACTCTGTTCAGTCTTTGCTCCCCCCACCCACCCACTCTCCGGCCGGGCCAAGAACCCCGTCCGTTGGTCCCAGACGCTGGCAGCACGCTCGCCGCCTTGTTTGGGCTTGACAAGCCATGGCGGCGGTCCCGCCAGTCATGATTGGCGTTCCCATGGTTCCGCCTTATCGAGCCTGTGAGAAGCTCCGGAGACACGGTGACACGGGTGACACGCGCACTCGGCGAGGGGGGACCCTTATCAGAAATCTGCAAGACGGCGGGTGCGGATTTGCGGCTTGCCCTGCTTCTTGCAGTAGCTGTTACTGCTTGCTGCAATCCTTCCCACCGACCAGCCCTTGCCATCACCATCCTCGGTTCTGCTGATCCCAACAGTACGCCGCACGCGCGACACTGGCGCTGGCGCGAGAAGCACGTCGACCGGGGGGTTGTATGTCAGTATGTGTCTGGGAGAGAGACAGTAGAACAGAGGGTAAGGAAGAAAGAGGCGGAGAGACATGGAGGAAGAGAGAGAGAGAGAGAGAGTGTGTGTGTGTGTGCGTCTCCATGTATCTCTTGCAAATGCATCCAACCACTGGCGTCACCGCGGAAAGAGATAGACAGGAGAGAGGAGCCAAGAGAGGGCAGAAACAACCAACCAGTGGTGCCATCCGACCCGATGATACGGATATTAGGGTTGATATGGCGGTAACATGTGGTATACCTCACCTCTAGCTCACCCACATGCATCAAGCCACCAACAAAAAAAAACCGGCGCAGCATGAAAGGAGATACCTACATGACACTTCCAGGTTGGGTTGGGGGGTGAGGTTTCCAGAGTGACGGTCATGGTCTCCTGGTTAAGAATCATAAGAGACAGAGGGGAAAAGAAGAGTAGCAATACCTATTACCAGCAAGCAGCCCCGGTTCGAGCTGAAGGGAAAGAGACCCAAAGTAGCTTGGCTGTGCCGTACGTCTAACGTCTAGCGGCGGAGGTACTTCGTTTCGAAGCTTGGTTTGAAGGAGGTTCCCATTCGCACGCGCACACGACGACAATCTTTCTCTTTTTTTTGCCCGTCTTCCATGCCCATCCTGATTCCCCATCCATCCCATCCCATGCTCCATGCTCCATGCTCGTTGCTCATTGATCAGTGCTCGCAGCTCTCTCTCATCCATCCCCGGGCCTGTCCAGCCCACGCCTACCGATCCTACTTAACCAAAGTCCACCCACTCTTCAAAATTTTCCTTCTTTCTGCAGATTTTTAAGGTCCCAAGCCTTTTTCTTTTTCATTTCCCACTTATTAGTCTTCCCATCTTGCTGGACGAAGGAACGGGGGTCAGGTAACAAAAGTGACAAATACCACGAGACCCTTCTTACTCTCTATTTAATCCTTTTTCCGAGCTTTGTTTCTTTCCCTCTTCCCCCGGGCTTCTTTCTTCATCAAGCCCCCTTCACCAGCCACTTTTGGGACGGGATCCCCGACGACGGGTGCGCGGGCGATTCATCTTACAGATACCTGTCTGTGTGCAAGTCCAACGGCCGACTCAAAACCAACAGACACAGTCCAAGACCCAGGCACCACAGACCTTGACCAGACCAACCTTACCGGCGATAAACCACCATACTACTAATACCCAAGGGCATAACGCAACGGCCACCAACAACTCTGTTCCCTGGACATTCCAGCCACCCCCAACGCCAACGCCAAAGACACGAACGAACGACGTATTGGGGACCTTTGGACGACGACCTGGCCAACCCCGGAGGATATATAGACGATAGACGGAACCCATCGATCCATGTTGCAGCCCCTCCTCCCGTGACAGGGTCCTCTCTCTTCTTTCCACTCTACGACCTCACGAGACCACCATCCATCTTGAGCTTCGCGGCGGCGCTTACCATCGTCTGTCGCCAGCTGCCGCCACTAAGAATTCAACCAGCCCCAACTCTCCAATTTCCAACCACCCCCGAGCCGGCGTCTTTTATTCCCTGTTACCGGCGGTTCTCCCTAGTCTTGACGGCAAACCCGCCCCCGACAAGACGAGACGTATCCGTACAATTGCCCACCTAATAAGCGATCGATTTCTCCTTCCAGGACCGGACAGCCAGCAACCAAACTGGGTCATCAAGTCGACTAGACCAACGGGCCAATAAGATGGATTCACCACACCACATGGGCATTCGCGAGCTCAATGTGAGCAACTGGCACTCTCACAATGCCCTTACCGATACCTTCAATCATGCGGTCCCCGCCATCAAGACAAGCGCAGGTAAGAGCTAAGACGAATTTTTTTTCTCTTCCCTCATTTGGTTTCTCGTTACGTCTTCCCTGCGTTTCTGCCCTGCGGCTCTTTTAAATCAATTCTTCTTGGCCACCTATTCTTCAACGTTACCTTTCCTCTCATCTTGGCATTCTTATTCAACCTCACCTCGTGTTGTGTGTCTCTTTCACAACTCAATCGTACACCTGCACCCAAACCCGAACATCGTCATCAAGTTCATCCAATCTCATTTTCCAACGCTCCGGCAGGATCGTTTGGGGATCTGGCTTTTTTTCAGAACGTGCAGCAAAAGCGCCGAAAGTTTCGGCCACGCTCACGGTTATCGGCCTCTCGGTGCTCTAGAACCAATCCAGAAGAGGACGTGGAACAGGAAAATCTCATCTCAACTATTGACAAGCTTTTCATCCTGTCTGTCACAACCTCACAACTCACTTCACCACCTGACCACATCTCATTTATTTATCTTTCTCTTTTCACTTGGCGTTCATCAATGCTCTCAACTTGGACCCGGCATCACGACGAAAGCAAAACTGACCAGTCTGTCCAGCCTTCTTCACATTTCTCCGCGCCAACTTGGTCCTGAACCCATCCGCCATGTCATCCAACACCAACACGCCCGTCCTCCAGCCTACGGTGGCTTCCAACACCCACCGCCCGGCAGCCCCGTCTCCGCTGGCAACATCTCAGACCCTCGACCCCTTTGACGACATCCCTCCTCTGTCGCTCGAGGTCCTCTCCACCCGCGAGGACAAGGCCGAAGCCCTCCACCTCGTAGCAGACTCCATCGCCCAGCAGCGCCAACAGGCCGCCTACTCACTCGTCTTCCACCCCGTCCCGCTCGCAGGCCTCACAGCCACCCTCGGCGTCGCCTACCAGTACTCCTACGCCCGCCAAGGCGACATTGGCCTAGCCTTCACCCTCTTCAGCGGCGTCATCATGACCTACCTCCTCGCCATCCGCTGGGCGACGAGCGGCTACCTGCCCCTCGCCGAGCAAATGTCCTGGTCCTTCATCCGGCCCCACCCAGACGCCTCCGCCGACGAAGAGGACCTCGTCCTCGGCACCCGCTTCGGCAACGAGCTCGTCGGCGCCTTAGTGCTCCACCTCGAGCCCGCGAGCCCGGCCGTCGCCTCTACCTTTAGCAGCCGGCGCCGCAACAAGGCCTCGAGCTTCCGCGGCGGAAAGGGCATCATCCGCGCCTGGACGACGAAGCTCCGGTACCGCGGTAAAGGCGTCGGCACCGACATGCTCGACGAGGCGGTCCGAATCACGCGCGAGCGGTGCGGAAAGGACGCAGAGGTCGGCTTCGCGCTCGAGCACGCCAATAGCCGCATGGTCATGCCCGAGTTCTTCAACGGCGTGTTTAGGAAGCGCGAGCGCTGGGCCGCCAAGACGCTCGACGGCGTGTTGGCTGAGCGGGAGCTCACCAAGAAGAAGAGGTGAAGACCGTCGTCCTCGATTCCACATCATCTACAAAAACAAACAGACATTTGTTCTATCTCGTGTTGCTACTACCCATTTATTCGCAACCTTTGGTGTGTTCGCGCGTGCGTGTGTGTTTTTCTGTTGCTCCCTCTTTTCGGACAACTGGGCGGGGACGGTCCTTGGAAATTGGTTACAAATATACCCTAGAGCTGTGGGAAACGACGGGCCAGGTGTCATTGACACGTTACTGGTGTAGGATCCCGCGGGCATCTCTTTTATCTTTTGGTTGTCTCATCTTTTTCAAACGATACCCCTCGTTATATCAAACGGCTTGTTTAAACTGGGCGCATCGGGTGGCGCGATTATACAATTTGTATAGAGAAGACAGATTTGGGGAAAGGGAGTCAAGAGTTCTTCGTGGTTACACACCCCCCTTTCCGTTAAAGAGCGTGGAGACGTGGACATGGCAAAGAAGATATTACTAGAAGTGCAGCTTGGGGAAGAGGGAAAGAGTGGGAGGAGAGGTCCTCGTAGATCATGCGTTCCCCTTTCCCTCCTGCTGCCTAACATAAACCCTTCGTTTGGCAAACGTATCTATCCGTTTACAATTTTCTTGGACCGTGGCGTACAAAGTGCGGTTGAATCCTTGCGGCGTTCTGTGACCAACTACACATGACACTTGCCATTAGGATGTATCAAGGATAGTTGGCTACTCAGACAGGGCAGCTGAAGAATGAACTCTGATAGTTATGCCAAGTCATGACGCTCAGTCCCGCCCAATGCCCCAGAAACTATTCTCAATCACGATCCGATGTCAATACACGACTCAAACATCCCAAATCAGAAAAGACCTAGACTGCCTCGACATGGCTTATATCATTCGCGACTGATCGTCTCGATGCGCTTTTCCCGCACTCTGCCGAAAGCTGGCTGACTACAAAATCTCACTTCATGCTTGTTGGCCCCGTATACTACTGACTTTGTTTGATTATGTGCCTAGGATCGAGGACCGACAATGTACGGGACTTCCATCCCCCCCCCCCCCCTGAGGCTCTAATATCCGGAGAGTAGTCTCCAAAACCCTTTTCTTTCAGTCTTTCCTTCGCGATGACATGATATCTCTCTCCTCCGTCGTTTCAGGCGGTCGATAAGTTTCGCGCATCCCCACGCGATAATCTCCTGGCCATCTAGGATCCTCTCTTGCAAGGCCTCATAAACCCAATGTTGGGATCCAGAAAGAAAGTGAGGCACATACGTATCCCTATTCCGTAGTGCTTTGTCGTCCATACTCGCTTCAACCGTAAACGCCAGAGGTGCCTATACCTCGGAAGACAAATGAAAAGAGGACCAGAAAAGGCGATAAGGTCCAACAAATAGCTGTGGTGATGGCACGCTTTTCTGACCGATGGTGGAAATCCTTTTGGCGGCTTTGACCAACACCTTGCCTCTCTAAAGTTTGAAGAGACGCAAGAGGAGGTAAAGGGGTGAGTCCTCTCAGTCCTGGATGCCTGCTGCCTTGGCCTTGCGCGACTTCGGGTCGACAAAGGTATCGGGGTCGAATCCGTAGATTGGCTTGCCCTTGCGGGCCAGAGAATACAAGACCTAAGGTAAGGGAAACGTCAGATACCAATCTTTATAGAATAACACCGACCCTGCCACTAGAATCCGACGGAGGCAGATCACGAGACTTACGTCGTGAATAGTGATAGTCTTCGCCTTACGATGCTCCGCATACGTCACGCAGTCTCTTAGGACCTATTTGCAGCTCGTCAGCCTTTCGTGAAGACAAAAAAAGATAATTCGGTGTATATGAGAGTGTGTATTTACAGACTCGAGCCAGGTCTTCAGGGCCTCACGGGCGTCGTCGTAGATCATGGCGGAAATCCGCTTGACGCCGCCACGACGAGCCAGACGACTAAAGTGAGAATGAGCAGTTAGCTTTGAATTTATTCCTCAAAGGGAAGGTGGAAGGAGGTAGGTGTAGGTGTTGTCGTGTTCGAGAGACGGAGCAGGCGAGGTGGGTGAGGGTGATGATGTGCGTGGTGAGACTGAAATGAAATTCGATCGAGGAAGAGCTCAACTCAAGTCCCCTTCATCACCCTCATCTCAGGAACCCCGAGACCATCCGCCCTCACCCGGAGCCCCAATAAATCCCAATCAAGGAGAAAACCTCTTGCAATCAGGGAAGAAAAACATACCGAATAGCAGGCTTCGCTAAATAAGTAATCCGGGTCAGCTCCTCGTATCCAAGTGTGTATAAGTGGTCAACTGAGTCAAGTGCAACATACTAATACCCCGGATACAATCCTTCATAATTTTCCTATTCTCCAGTTAGCTGCCGAATCTCACCTGCCGTAAGTGAAGATCGATAAGAGGAGACCACTTACCGGTGTCTTTTTGCACCGGTCCCCGCGTTCTGCAGCACAGTCTTGCCTTTGCCGCCTTGATGCACCTTGGAAGCGGTGCCGCGCTTGCCGCCGGAGCTCGAGGCCCACGGACCGCCGCGAATTGCGGACGCAGGCGGCATGGCGAAGTGACGATGATGTTGGTGTAGACTGCCGAATGAGGAATTCTGCTGACGCTTTCTTTCGGATCGTGAATCGCCAAACTGTAGTTGAGGGTGCGGATCGTGGGTGTGTGGGTGAACGCGCCGCTTGGGGACTGTTGTGGAGGAGTTGGCAGCGAATATGCGGGGGAATAACCGTAAGCTAAGGAGGTTTTGAGACAGCCTTAGGGGGCCTTTGAGGTACCCAGCGACAATGGAAGCACTGGATGCAGGGCAGTGGAGGTAAGGTAGGTAAGGTAAGGTAGGCACCTGCCATTGATACGTTGGAGACGGGCAGGTGCGGCAGGGACGTTTCTGCCTTGCCTTATCGGTCACGTCTCAAGTCTTATCGGTTCAACTTGGCCCGTGCTGAGCTGCTCCGTGCAAAAACACCGTAGAAACACACACCACGCACTGTCAAGACTCATCGCTCGCAATGCAGGTGCAGGGAACTTGCCGGCGAATGTTTGTCATATGCCTTGTTTCAAGAGAGAAACTCTGAAGTCGGGGTCGGGGTCTATGTGATGCCCCAGCTTTTGAATAGCTGAGAGCTGGAAGCAAAGGAGCTATGCCTGTGGAATAGGTCAGGCGTGAAGCACGAGGCGACGCACACGACTTTCAGTGATCAGAAACTTGCACGACATACGCAGAATGTTGAAAGTGTGTATTTGTATTAGAACAGCTTTATAGAATAAGTATGCGTACCCAATTCAACGAGTGACCATAGCCCCCATCTGAACGCCTAACCAGACCGGCAACAACTACCCAAGAATTTCATCGCCGTCGTTTCATTGTCCATACGTCTATTCGGAGATGAAGGTGGCCTCGCTGAAGCAGAGACCCTCTTCGGAGATTTCTTGGTCTCCAATCTTGAGCTTCAGGGTGAGCTTCTTCTCTGTCGGGCAGTACTGTAATCGTTGTCAGTTTGGTTACTTGAGCCACTAGGGGCTCGACCCGGGGACTTACCTGGTAAATGTACGGCTTGGTGCCGGCCGTGCCAGCTACTATCTTCTTGACGAAGCCGGGGACCTCAGCCAGTACGTCCACTCTGTCCAGCCTCTCGCCCAGAGGGCCTTCAATGACACCCTCCACGGCCTTGCCATCCTTGTCCGTGCCGGACCAGGTGAATTTGATCTCCTCGGGCTCGGGCCACTCGTTGACGGAATCGTTCTTCGCCTTAATGTGCTTGGCCGTCTGCGTGACGCCGCCGTAAATCATCTCGCCGTCCTTGGCGATACCGCCAACGCTGACTGTAGTCGAACCATAAGAGGGAGGGGTGGTGTACTCCATCATGACGGCCGAGTAGTTGGGGCCCTGGAAGTCGACAAAGTTCCACTTGGCCGCCGCGTGGTGAGGCTTCATGCCCTGCAGCGCGTACACGTAAAAGGCCCGGCCCTTGAAGTCGACGGCGCCGTCCTTGGTGGTGATGGTGCCCTCGGTGATGCAGCGCGGCCAGAAAGCGTGGCGCATGGTGCCCCAGGGCTTCGACATGTCGGTACCGAACAGCGTCTTGCCCGTCTTGCCGGCGTGGAAGCCGGGCGACATGCGGGTGACCTTGAGGTTGACAATGGCGTTCTCCGAGTTCATGCTCTTGATCGTGTAGTAGGTGCCGTCCTCGGACAGCTCGACGGCGCAGTCATCGGCGTAGAAGGACATCCGGTCCTCGCTCACCTCGTAGTGGCTGAGCTGCGTGGTCTCCCAGAGCGTCGGCTTCGACTTGTTGGGGTAGAAGATCTTGGCGTTGAACTGGCATGTTGTGCGGATGCCACTGTTGTAACATTGGGTCAGCATGAAGAGACAGACGTGGAATGCACGGAAGCTATCCCATACCCAACGTTGCTGTAGATAATTTGGGCCAGCCCAAGGTGTCCGTTGTCGCCCATCAGGTAGAAGCTCTGCGTCTCGACAGAGGTCGAGTCGGCCGCAATCCATTTCAAGTCATCCTTGGTGGTCTCCGTGTGGGTAGTCGTCTTGGCCTCTTCGGCGACGGATCTGATAGCTGTTGGGCCGTAGATGGGCTCTTGGGTACCTGCCACATCGGCGAGCCTGGCAGAATCAAAAGGTTAGCCTTGGCTGACGCAACATTGAGGGACGGCAAACACTAATTACTTTTGTTGCGCCCACTTGAACATGTTGACGGCAGGACGCGTGAGCGGGTGACGACGGATGGAAACGGGAGGGAGATAAAGGGTGGTCGTCGATGGCGGTAAAATGCAGCAGGTCTAAACACGGGTAACAAGAGAAACAAGCTTCTTGGTGGTGTTCTTAAGAGGAAAACCGAGTTGAGAAGAAGTTGAGTTGACCGCCCCAAACAAGAGCCAGCGGAGGGGCCGAGGGGTCATCCCACGACCCAATGACGGTGAAACTGTGGCTAATGCGACCAGGGTGGATCCTGCGCTCCCCCGAGCATCCCGGTCGCTTGGACCTTTGGCGCGTGGCTGGTGCTTCAAGGCTCCTAAATTTTCCACCTCCGAAAAGGTGCAGCATCAGGTCGGATTGATTGAAGCTTAGTTGTCTGTCGCGCGGTGCAATATACCTGCCCATCACCACCCACCCGTCACCCCCCTTTCCCCCCAACGAGCAGACTCGTCTGTATATCCGCCACCATGTCCAAGAGAGGAGCGACAGTTGCCGACCAGGTCGTGAAGCTCATCGTGGGCGCCGGGCAAGCCAGCCCGAGTCCGCCTGTTGGTCCTGCGCTGGGTAGCAAGGGTGTCAAGTCGATGGATTTTTGCAAGGTGAGACTTGCCCTTGGGACTTTGATGAAGCAACACATGCCACTCTCTGCCCAACATCTGTGCTTTTAAGGGGTTGGTTATGCCATGGTTGAGATCAATGCTAACGTGTCTTTGCTCAATCGACAGGAGTTCAATGCAAGGACAGCACACATCATCACCGGCACGCCGATGCCTTGTCGAGTCACTGTCCGAGGCGACCGATCATTCCACTTTGACATCCGCACACCTCACACATCTTGGCTTCTCCTCAACGCCGCCGAGGTGCCGGTCGGCAAGAAGGGCAAGCGGAAGGGCGCAACCAACCCCGGAAAGGAGACGGTCGGAACCGTCAGCTTGAAGCACGTATACGAGATCGCCAAGATCAAGCAGACGGAAATGCGTCTATCGGGTCTCAGCCTCGAGGCCATCTGCCGCTCCGTCATCTACCAGTGCAAGTCCATTGGTATCAACGTCGTGCCATAGAGCACGTGTCCTGCAACAGTCTATTTTCAACCACGTATTAAAAACGGAGTCAGGCGCGGAAAGAAAGCATCCACTTGTATACCATCTCAAACGAAGAAGAGCGTGCCCATGTACAATTATTGGAGGATCGAGGCGAGGCGACGTTAGAATAGCAGACAGGAGGTACTGTACGATGAGAATCTCAACCGCCGAGCAAAGGCAGAGCACGGCGACAAAAAAACGTTCATACACTAGCGCCGCGTGGTCGGAACATGGCACGCCTGAAGGGATGCTTCATGCGCCCCAGAAGTCCCAACTGAGCAGTGACGTTGAAAATATGTCTCGTTTTGAGGCGAAGTCCGTTCTCACGCTTCTACTTGCGCACGATAGTGCGAGTACGACAACCGTCCGTGGGAGACCGAAACGACTAGCTGTCTGGCCGTTGTCTAAGACTTTGGAAAGGAAAAATCGATGTAGAACCAAGAGATTACGACAAAATGCCAATCGTTGCACGCCTGCTTGAGTAAGTCGCCGGGCGGATTGGATCATGGCCCACCAGAACTTTGTATGTCGAATTGAGATGGTGTGAGGGGAAAATCTCATTGTGCCGTGCCGAACCACAGGATTGGGGGATAATTGACAAGGTCGTTCCAAAGTCAGATATGCGATCGGCGGTCTAGAACTGATATGCAAGCGGCAAAGCCAGCACATCAGTGGGGAAGAGGTGGTTCAAAGTCTCTCGAAGCTTCGCAATCGAGATCGATAAATCTGTCGAGACTGAAAGCCTCCACGTTTTCCTCCTCATGGTTAGTGAAGCGCCTCGTAGGCAGTTCCTTGCCTGTCCTATGATGCGAAGCTTCCTCCAAGAAGCTTACGCAAGAAGGCACTTGGTGTGCAGCATTAGGTAACGGGTCCCAGTGGCAGATGCTTCAGCTCCGTCGGTGGAGGCCCGCTGGTTGCGACGAAATGCAGGCCCAGATCTAGACAGTGCCAGGGCCATGCCGATGGAGATTTTCCCATCTGGTGCCCCTGGAAGGCGGTCCTCTTTTGCAGCGTGCCTGGATAAAGGGTTCCATCAGCAGCAGCCTGTCATCTGCAAGAATGCCTCCAAGCCTCGTCAGTGTGGGACCGATTCGAAGCCGGTGATGTGACGGAACAGTGGCCGTTTTCATGCTGCAGGTGCAACACATCAGCAACCACGCCACTGTGCTGGGGCAGCTGGGCTCGTCGGTCTGGGACCGGAGATGCGGCGGTGTTCGTAGGGCGGAAGGGCGGGACGAAGGCAGGCCAGTTAAGGTACGTCTCGGCATGTACTCTGAAAGTGTGTCTCGGGCTAGTGGGCAGCTGGGGAAGATGGGGAGCAAAGCTCCGTCTGTTCCTGTCCATCACTTCATCGTAACCCCAGTCTCGACTCCTGCTTGCCGGAAGCTGACAGGGAGCTGGACCTCGCGGCTCGTGGAAGCCGGTGAGCGTCGAGGTTTTCTTTTGGCAGGCCGTCGGATGTGCGTTCAACCTTCACAGAGGTACTAGGTAATCTATTGTTCGTTCGTTGAAGCCTGAAGGAGGGCGAAGACAACCTGAGATTGGCGTGCTTTTGTTTCCTTGCAGGCTTGACTCGTTCGTCCCGGCCTAGACAAGAGGTGCATTGTCGGATAATCTGGCGCGCATTGGCGTTCGTTGACCTTGTGGACGGGTATGCCCTGGTTACCGTCGGCGGAATGAAGAGCCTGAACCACAAGAAAAGATTTTCAAGAGGCGCGAGGAACTGAAAGAGTCATCGGCCTTGTGGAGATCGGGCCGCGGCCGAAGCAGGCAAAAACCATCAATATCCATGGATGAGTCTTCGTTGGTGTGCTGCGAGGTTCGTAAAAACGATTAAAATGTTACCAAGTACCGCCGAGCCGCCGAATAACAACGCCTCACAGCTGTCGCATGTGTCACGGATGCGAAGCCGAGAAATCACCCCCCGGCGCATATTGGGGGCACTTTGAAGACGGGCGGTCTGAGGTGATGGACACTCTCGGGAGGGATCTTGGAAAAAGCCGATCACCGAGGGAGCACGAAAGGACAAGTCCAGAAAATTAGAACCGGCTGGTCATGAGGTAGAAAAAAAATAGAATATTCCGATCACCACAGGGACAGGCAGGAGCTGCCATGCGACCAGGGCAGGCAAGGGCCTTCTCTCCTTGGGCCGGGTTCCTGATGCAGATACGCGCAATGCATCCATGATTTTTGGGGGTACTGCCAAGTATTTCTCCCGTTCCCAAGCCGTCTCCAAGGCTCCAAGAGTCCAAGCCGTAAAAAATAAAATAAAAAAAAAACACCTCCAGTCTCCAGCCTAGTGGCGGCCCCCTTCACCTTTCTCGGCTCCCTTTCGGTGGCCCTGGTGCTCCAGTGCCATGTCACCGTGTCTTATCCAGACCACCGCTTCCCCGATAAGGAATGGATAACGATCCAGTTGACCATTCAGATTGCATCCTTTTCAGGCTCACTCACTTAACACAAGTATCGTGTACTTGCTGACCCTCCCACCTTGGTATACTCCTCTACAATATCTTTCATATCACAGTACCTGGCTCGGCACGGGTTACGGGAGGTCAGACGGACCCGTGAACAGCGCACTCGAGATTCCGCCATACGTATCTGCACCGGGTTCGGGCTCTCACTAATGATATTTCCCCCTCGGGTCCCGGAGTCTACATACGGGGAATGTCTCTCCAGGTGACCTCGTTCTTTGCCTGTTCATCCGAGTCTTGGGCCGGATCAGCACAGAAAAAGACGTGAGATGAATGCGACAACAATGTTGAATAATACATGTCAAATCACAGGCCAGGGAGAGATCCTCCGGCAAGGACCTTCAATTTTTTGCAACGTCTAGGCACTCCGTTAGTACCCATGCCGTGCATTTGACCAGTACCTTCCCATCAGGTACGCAGTGATTAGGTACTTCCATTGACTCTTAGTCTTAGTGCATCTCAAAGTGCCCCACCATCCGCAATTGGCATCCACACCTCACTCATCCACCTAGTCCTGGGTATCCGTACTTTTTCTTTCCTAGGCCCGGCCCTTCGTGTTGTCGTCGTTTCTTTCCTCTCGCTCCTCTTCCCCGCCATCCGTTGTCATCATCGTCCTCTTTCGACTCCAGAGAAGCTGCAGACGACAAACAGTCACTGCCCGCAGCTACAGCCAAGCCCATGGCTACCCCGTCTCCCGCCCGCGATCCTCAGAAAGAGGACGTCAAAGTCCCAGGTACAAACGCCATATCCTTCCGTCTGTTCCGGCGCGCGCAACCCCGCCCTCGGTTCGTCTGTTGCGCATGTCACAGTCAAACAAACATTCACTCACCCAATGTCCCACGTCCACGCTCACTCTCACACATACGCTCATACCCCAAGCCTGCATCTTATCCTCAACGCAGATCCCGTCTTGTGCTGACCGCTGTGCGCAATGCCTAGAAATCACCCGCAATCCTCCAGATAATCCAAATCTCCACAAAGACGACAAGATGCCCGCTCAAGATGCACCCGCCGTCCGCTTCGCTTCTTCCGTCGAAGAGATAACGCCAGCCGTCACCACGACATCACCCACCGAGACTCTTTCTCCCACCGATGCCGCTACCGGAGACGGCGAAGAGTCCTTGGCCGAAGTCACGCCCGATCAGATTAGAGCTCTCTCCAAGTCCCTTCAAGGTGCACCGTTGCAGCAGCGCCGGATGAACGTCTTTGGCTTCGAGCCATACTCACTACCTGCATCACGCGTAAGTAGTCTGTTCCGTCATAACTCTTTAGTTTATGCGTGGTCTCGGAGCTTCTTGACGTTGTTTCCTGTTGGCTTGGGCGTCCGCCCTGATGCCTTGTGTTTCAAAGTCTCATACCTACCCCTCCACCCAACCAACACTGCCTCAACGTTCAGACTTGTCTTCCCCAAACATCTCACCTCGTCTTCGCTATAATCATCTGAGGCTTCTTCTCGATGGAGCTCCTCGTCGGAACCTCCCATGATCAGTCTCATGCTCATCCCAGTTACCCCCCAACCTGTCATGACAACACCACTCGGCCATTGCATCGCACGCGCCAGCCTGCACAACTTGCTTCTTACTAACCACCGGCACCTATAGGTTGGCTCACGAGAGGAGGAATCCGACAACAGTCGACTGCCAACCCCGAATTCCAGCGGACCGAAATCGCCGCGGTTTGGTCCGGCGCATCCGATGCAGTCACCTCCTCTGACCCCGGCGGGGACCGATCCCTCAGACCCGACAGCCAGGAAGAGTAGAGATCAAAATGACGAACGCAAGTCATCCACGAGCGACCCCCATGTCATCACTCCGCAGGCTTCGTCCTCCCAGGACTCACCACCATCATCCACCAGGAAGGAGTTGCCCGTCCGAGGCAAGTCGACGGAGGAGGTACCTCAGCGATCAGCTTCGGCAGAAGACCAACCACACGACACGAGGTCGCACAGGAGGGGAATGTTCTCTGTCGGTCCTGGAGGATCAGTGCCGGTTTCGCGAGAATCTAGTCCATCTCGGGCCTCATTGTACTACTCCAAGCCGATGACACCAGGCGGAGATGCCAACGACCCTTATGCGGCTCACAAACGTCAACCGCCAGCTCCTGCTCCTCAGCGGGGCCAGATCGATTCAAGATTCGTCTTCTCGCGCCGAAAAAACAAGCACGGATCGTCGCCATCTGGTTCTACCTCAAGTCTGGGCCGAGCAAGCGACAAAAGACACTCCGGGCTCTTGGGCATGAAGGGACATGGCGACGAGCTGCAGGTTCCTCACGATGACTCGGCTAGCATCACGAGCAGACAAGGCTCCTTTGCCGACCTGAAGAGGTTTTTCAAGGTTGGCGGACATCACAAGATGAAGAGGGAAGCTTCCCCATCATCGGTTCGATCGGGCACCAAGACACCCCCTACCAGAGGGTCGCAACATGTTCCCTTCGGAGACGACCACGGACTTACTTCGAAATATGGAAAGCTCGGCAGAGTCCTGGGATCGGGTGCTGGAGGATCTGTTCGTTTGATGAAGCGCAGTGATGACGGTGTCGTTTTCGCCGTGAAGGAATTCCGACCGAGACATTCATATGAAACTGAGAAAGAGTACGTCAAGAAGCTGACAGCTGAGTTTTGCGTTGGCTCAACTCTACACCATGGCAATGTTATCGAGACATTGGACATTCTGCAGGAGAAGGGCAAGTGGTACGAGGTCATGGAGTACGCTCCGTTTGACCTTTTCGCGTGTGTCATGACGGGCAAGATGACACGAGAGGAAGTCGGCTGCTGCTTCTTGCAGATCCTCAACGGTGTGACATATTTACACAGCATGGGTCTTGCTCATCGGGATTTGAAGCTTGACAACGTCGTGGTCAGTGAGCATGGGATTATGAAAATCATCGACTTTGGTAGTGCCCACGTTTACAAGTATCCTTTCGAGAGCGACATTGTCCTCGCTTCAGGTTAGTTGCCCATTGGAACTTGCTTCGACGCATTTGCTGATTGATTATAGGCATCGTGGGCTCCGACCCCTATCTAGCTCCTGAAGTTTACGACGAACGAAAATATGATCCCCAAGCCGTCGATATTTGGTCATTGGCAATTATCTTTTGCTGTATGACATTGCGCAGATTTCCGTGGAAGGTCCCTCGCATGACGGACAACTCGTTCAAGCTTTTCGCTGCTGAGCCAACACCAGGCCACGACCCTAAAAAGCTGATCATGCCGTCAAAGTCTGCCAACGACCTCTCCAACACTCCTCAGAGAGATATTTTCGAGGACGGTAAGCATCATAATCACAAGCACGAGCCGAAAGAAAGCCAGAAGGAGAACCAAAAGGAGAACCAGAAGGACGTTCCCAAGGACGGCGAGGGGAGTGCAGCACAGGGAAGCTCGACGCAGACTTCGACTAAGTCTGACGGCCAGCAACCAGCCGACAAGAAAGAGGTCATAAGAGGTCCCTGGAGGATCTTGCGCCTGCTCCCTCGCGAGAGTCGTCACATCATTGGCCGCATGCTGGAGATCAAGGTGAAGGATCGTGCGACGATGCAAGAAATTCTCGATGAGCCCTGGGTTGCCAACACAATTATTTGCCAGCAACCCGAGCCGGGCCGCGTTGTACACGCAGAGGATCACATTCACACTCTTGAGCCACCACAGCCCCCGAAGTAGGGGTCACTGTACGGGTGCGGTGAACACAAATTGCATGTCCGAAAGGCGTTTAACCGGTTGTAGATGGGGTTTTGGAATGGGACAGGATGTGGAAGACACTAGGAATGACATGAGCCCCTCGTGATTGGGGACACAGCGATGATATTGGAGCTTGGGTGGTATCGGAGTCCGTCTTGAGGTTTTGTAGATGCTGCTGCGGCTCCGCCCACGGCCTTGGATCAAGCGATTGAATTAGATAGGTAGATAATACTATTCAGAAAAGACTCAATGTGTTGGCCTAGCCAATTGTGATCAAGTGATATCACGAGATATCCCAAGTCTCAGCAAGACAGCAACTCACCTTCATCCGTGGATGGTCTGTGTCCATACGTCAAATGTGATATGGTCGATTGGTAAGTACCTCATTCATCCTCGGCATATGCAGCCAATCGGGCGATATCCAGGGGTATGTAACGGTGGGGCTTTCGGGAAATCCTTTGGCCGATCGGCCCAAAAAATTGTTGACATTCTGGAAGCTCTTGGAATAGCTTCAAGGCTTAAAGTTCGTCCCCCCGTATCGACTTTACACTTCACCGATCGTCATCCGCCCAATTCCTCCAAACAGACCAAAGTTGCCGCTTTCGCTGTCAATTCCATCACAACAGTCACAATGGTACGTTGGCACCCCTCACTTCTACGCCGCGGTCCCGGCAGCAGCCTTTCCCTTACGTCGGCCGCACGACGGGGCTTCATCATATTAGCCCTCGACATTGTCTGCCGCCATTGACAGCAATGCAACGTCTCGCGTAGCCATTTTGCTGACAAGACGCATTGCAGTCTGCCTCCTTCCGCTCCATCCGCGCCCTTGCGCCCCTTCTCGACCGCGTCCTCGTCCAGCGCGTCAAGGCTGAGACCAAGACCGCCAGCGGCATCTTCCTGCCCGAGTCCTCCGTCAAGGAGCTCAACGAGGCCAAGGTCCTCGCCGTCGGCCCCGGTGCCCTCGACAGAGACGGCAAGCGGTTGCCCATGGGTGTCGCCTCTGGTGACCGCGTCCTGATCCCCCAGGTACGTTTTCGATCCCTGACGGCAACATCAACTGCGGCGCCAGTCATTGATCCTACCCGCTTCTCTGCTTCCCTGCTTCCGCGACCTGGCCTGTGAAACGTGGTGACATTCGGGAATGCGCAGTACCCGGCACCTCTTTACTTGATATCTCTTTCGCCGCATTATGTCGGCGGAAGTGGAAATAGAGTAATGGGATGATGGGGACGGGTGAAGACAGGATGGGCGAATTGGTTGAACAAGCACAATATATGGATCCGACGGGCTGACAAAATGTGATGCAGTTCGGCGGCTCCCCCGTCAAGGTCGGTGAGGAGGAGTACCACCTCTTCCGTGACAGCGAGTAAGTCTACACCAGTCTCTTTACCACACAAATCTTTTCAGCCAGCAAGCAGTTCGATGTGTTATACCAAAAGAAAGACAAGGTCACTAACGTGATCCCCTTCACATAGGATCCTCGCCAAGATCAACGAGTCATAAACAGAGAGAAATCTGCCAGAAACGACTCAAACCATGAAAAAGTGTAAAAGATACCCACGAGGTCTTTGGCGTGTGTACAATACTGTGTATCAAAAGAAACTCCAAAAACGAGAGCGAAGTAAGGGAGGGTGTATAGCTCCCCGCCCAGTATTCAATTTAGCTGGAATATTCAACCAATAAACGCTGGAAAACTGTATTATGGAGGGAGTGACAGGTTTGGTCTTTTTGCATAGAGACTTTTTTGGGGTGTGGTGTAATAGTAGGTGTGATTTCGCTTCCGCGAAGTAGGAGTCGGGGAACTGCATAGGAGATGGAGTAGAGGGACTCCGAGTTAGTAAGAGGAGTGACACAAATCGTGTCCCTCTCTTCCTTGCTCCCGCTCTTCTTATAGGCTGGAACCGCTCCTCCCTCGGCGGGTTTTGATTCATCAAGAAACCTCTCCTCTCTGCCACCAAGTTTCTCGCCCTGATGCCTCAAGTCGTCCGATGTGATGTTCTCGTAGCAAGCTATGGTTGGCTGGTGTGGTTGCGCTTAGTATAGCCGTGGCACCTGACAACTGACCTCGACGCATGACTGCTCCGAGGAGTTACTGAGCAAAACATAGACAACATACTACAGAGATGGGTGTATTTCAGGCCGCGGCTAAGAGGGGATCTTCATTCATTGAGAATACCTGGTGAACAGTACGACACCATCTCAACCACGTCTTGCAGAGTTTAGACAACGCTCTACTCCTTTCAGACAGAGTCAACCGTCTTGAACATGCCAGCTTGATACGACCATGAGCTTGACGCGAGCACGGTGTATTTATTTACCGAAGGCATCCCGGTCAAGCTGTACAGGTCAAGTAAGCGGTGATGCCGAGCAAGGGAAAGTGACTCGTATCAACCATCGTCGGCTCAGGCAGCCCGATCAGAGACAATCCAGAAACCCCAGACAAAGTTGACAGATTGGGGCATAAGAAGCAAAGCTTTGGCTTGGGATGGTTGTAGAGCCCATCAGGAGAGTGGCAGTAACAAACGGCCACGACATGACGTACGTCATCTAACTCGCCTACCTACGTTGGCGGGCTTGATCCCTTTTCGCCAAGACGGGAACAGTCGTTTCTGCGCAAGCAGCCGTAGCGCAGCACAACACATCCCTTCTCTCTCGGATGCGCACATACGAGGGGCACACGTGCATACTAAAACAAAGGTGTTTGACTTTTGACAACTAGTGCAATGGCACTATGGAAACTGGAAGGTTTCGAGTTTCTCAGATTCGATCGATGTCTGAGATATTCTGTCTTGGCAGGTTTTGGCCGTGTAGTTCAGAAATGATGCGGACGTAGCGGCAAGGCATCGGACAAGACGGACAGACAGACATACTCCGTACACAGTAAGGAGAGGGCGAGTGAGGTAGGTATGTCTTGCTGCGAGACCCGCGAGTGTGGGCGGTGCAAGACAAACAAGCTATTTTCCTTCGGGACGGGCGAGTGGGCGGAAAGACGAACCTAATCATCAGTGGATACAGAGAGAGGTTGCCGCAGTGCTTGATATTGGAATTGCAATCAAGATTTCATCTGGGGACGCCGCGCACTCTCGGGCTGCGGACCGGTCGTACGGCTGTGGGCTGTGGATATGCGATTGAGGCTCGGCCTGTGCCCGAGTCATTCTCCATCACGTTGATTCCTGTCTCACCAGTGACCGACTCTGGTCGTGTACGCTTCTCGCTGCCCATTGTTCTTTCCTCCCTGGTCACACTTTGGGCGGTGCTGGAATGCTCGCGGATGAGAAAAACGTGTCTGACCATCTACTAGGCCCCGCCCTTCTCAGTGGAGGGAGAACAATAGGATTGTCATTTTCGGACGCGGATTTCTTCCCCGGTGATGAATGGGCAAGCACGACCCTGGGACAATTTGACCGTAATCAACAGAAAATGGATACTGCATACATAATAGGTAAAAACTTGTGCGGCGGCCACTGCCATCAAGCTGAGCCTCGACCGTTATAGGTATGGATAAGGTGGATGACTAGGAACAAGGCAGTACGGAATGCGCGCGATAAACAGAGCAGAAAAAGACAGCAAAGGCAGAAAGCTGAGAAGGGGGGATACCGGTAAGCGGGATAAACATAATTAAACAACTTTGATCAAATCAAGAAAGAAGCGAGATGGGTGTAAGAGGAGTCGCTCCGAGATTGTGCATTGTCCACATGGAAAGTGGGAATCTTACGGGTTTATGGGTTCATAACTCACGGGCCACCACGGTCCATGGTCAAGGTCCGCGGGAGAGGAAGTGATGGAGAGTGAGAGCAGGAATGAATGAGAGTGAGCCATTGAGGCTCTCTGTGAATGAATGTGAGATCCGACGGGTGTCCCGGGCAGACGGTGGATTTCAGCTACATTTTGGCGGGCAGAGAGACCAGTGAACCACGAGTCGGAAAGTCTAGACGCTGGCCTGCCAGAAAGTCAAGACCACCACCCCTTTTCTTGTCTCTGTGAAGTCGTCTCACGGGCCACCAGGGAAAGTCCACAGCGAGGTAGGGATCCATGGATCATGGATTGAAGAGAGGGAGACTGAGAGACAGAGAGATACCGCGGAAACTGTGGAGAACAAGGTTGGGCTGCGAGATTTTCGAGGATCTTGTCAGCGATGAACGGTAGCCAGTCGTTTGCTGGTCCTCTTTTCGTTCTGATTCAGGGGTTGGGGGCATGTTCAAGGGGGGTCCGGCTCCAAAAAGTCAGTAAGTAACCTAACACTGCTGAGAATTGAGAATGCACGTTTGACGCAGTAAGGCGGCTGGGCGGCTGGCGGCTGCGTATGTGATGTTCAGCTATATTCAGCTGCCAATCGGGAACGAAGAGGGATGACGGTTAGTTCGGATTTAGATTCTTGGGATTCGGATGCGGCTGGAGGGAACGAGAAAGCGTTCGTCTCGTCCTTCCCCCCCTTCCACTTCTCGCGTGGTTCATGTGGAATGTCCCAGACTTCATTGGCAAAAACGAAACAGCGGCTCGGGACAGGTTACGGAGACACCTGACAGGCTTGACTGGTGGGATCTGGAGTGGGCTTCTTGGCAGGGCGTGACGCCTGGTCACCAACTGGTCCGCGACGAAGAAACAAGACTTTTTTGTGGTTTTTTTTCTTTCGCTGTAATGTAACCTGGGGAAATGATTACTGGAGTGCTGGAGTGCAATCGAATAAAAACTCATCATAACTCACAGTTGAGAAAAGAATGGGCTAGAACCTGGCTGGACTCTTGGAATTTCTGGATCTTGGTACACTGGAGAAACTGGATCGAGGAGTTGAAAGTGGGAAAGGCTCGAGAGTTGATACCTACGGAGTAGTGCCGGGACATGCGTGGCTCTGGGTCCCTCGGCCCAGTTATGTGTTTAGTACGTTAGAACTTTGCGGTTCAAGCTTACCTGGCAGCTTACTTAATTGCTGTTAAGGTGCGTTTCCCAAGTTTCAAAACAGTTTGCCTAAACGTTTTAACCTTACTGTGCTCGGTGTCATTCCAGAACCCCTTCGCTGGTGCTTGAATGGATTAGCTAATGCATCTCAGTAGAAGTGTACGTACTCTGTGAGGTAGGTATGCACAACAGCGTTTGGTGTGCGTGCCCGACGGGAGGCAAGTCAGGAGTTGATTGACTTGTCTCGCCTCAACCATGGTTCGTCTCATTTTTTGATTCTTTTTCAGACTAAGATCTCAAGTGACAAGATTGTTTCTTCTTTCCCCCTTCTGTGTTAACACAAACACTGTCCAACCCCCTTCTCCAAATTGTTCCCGCTACCCCTTGCGCCAATCAGTCAACGAAACGATCAATCGACGCAGCCAAGCGAAACTTCTCGGGCGATAGACATTAGACAGACGGGCAAGCTAGCCGGCCCAGCCCAGCCCAGCCTGCCTTCTTCACCTTTTCGAGACAAAGTGTCGTCGGGTGTCATGGTCAAACGGCCAAACTTGTGGCGGCGGAGGCGGAACTAAACACGAGTTTAAAAGCTGAAGTGCGAGTTATCTAGCTGATGACAGCCTCCCTCCCGAGCCCCTGGGTGCCCCTAGATTTTACTTTCCGGTTCGCCTCTTGAGGTATCACAGTAAGGTACGGTTATCTCCTGCAGTCACACTCGCGGGAGTTGATTGACAGTATCCGTATTGACTCGAGTAAATCCCCCCTCCTTCTCCTGAACCCCGCGCGTCACACGCGAATCTGCACCTATTCGGCTTTGCGAGATGGGCCGAAATGGTTTAGTGCCAGGGGAGATCGACGAATCTTAAAACGGCGCCTGAACTTTCGGCTCTGCGCGTTTCGATTGCTCGCTCTCTGCTGAGCTCAGAGGCATTTATGTGCACACACATATCCGTATCAGCACAGTAGGTACATCGTTTGGTAGATTCTAGCGCTACAATGTCTGGCTCCATCTGCAGCTACCGGGCTTCTTCTTCCTTCCATGACGACGATCCGGTCTTGGTATTCAGTGGGCAGACTCCAGAGAAAGCATTGCAAGTCCCTAGAGTCCAGACTGTGCGCGTTGTCGGGGGACTCGGGCACTCGGGGAGGAGAGAGAAGTGGACGCGGCTATCCATTCGGTCCCGCAAACCACGGACCCAGGGCTGAGGGAAATGCCTCTCTGATCCTGTGGCATGGTATGATAACACCGCGCGTCTAATTCGTTGTTCGGCTCTTGGTCGATCACTTGGTCTTGTTTGCTCTCTGTGCCTTGGAAAATCCTACGCAGTAATTCCCCGAAGGCGACGGCAATGGAACTAGACAGTAGCCACGGCCAGATACGTATCCATTAGGGCGGGGCGGGTTCGGACGACGAGGGCAAGAGGGATGGATCATGGATTGGAAGGATGGGATGAAATCCATGGAAGGGACGATGGGATGGATGGCAAGATGGGAAGGAAGTGAGATACCAGCGATACGTACCCCCCCAGTGACCCCAGTAGCGCCGCCCACTTCTGTTTCATGTTCCCATCTCCGTTGTCCCCACTAACGCACGCCACGAGTCCCTGCAATATGAACTTCCTCTCTGTTTGTCAGTGGTTTTTCTCTTGGCAAGGGCCCAGGCTTCTTTCCTGTTGGTCAGACTGTTTTTTCTTCTCTCTCACTGTTCACACACTTCGCTCCTCTCGGGCAGAATCATCTCACCACCACACGCACGAACACCCGTATCTGTCTCTCTCTTCACGGTATCTCTCTGCTGTGCCCCCTCGCCCCCTCGCCCCCGGCACCATGATCTGACACCCATGGCTAGCTTAGGCAGGCAGAGAAAGACTGAACAGAGGCAACCCTACAAGGCAGATCCCGTATCTTTTCCAGCTATCCAGTGGGAACTCCACCAACCCAGCGGCGGCAATTTGTCTTGAAGCATGCCTTTCTCGGCAGGATGACCGCGCTAGCGCACCACCCAATGTAACCTGCAAGACGGGAACTGGGGGCAAGATGGCGGCGCGGAAGAGGCACAGATAGGATGGTGACGAAGAAGACAGAAGTCACAGAACTCTCTGTCCGTAGCACTGTAGTAGTGGACAAGGCGAGTGGGGGTGGTTGCCAACAGCCAACTTGCTGCCCGCTGCTACTGCTACCGCCCACAGTCCACAGCCCGTTGCCTACTGCAAGGTACCAGGCCGCCCGAGATGAGAGATGGAGAAAGCAACCAAACCAGGGGTGTCTATGGCCTTGCAGGAGCGGAGCTGCACGTCTAAAGGGGGGGCGTGCAAAGCGGTTGAGCTTCTTGCTGAACAAGAGTGCCACTATTCGCTTCCGCCCCCAGCTAGTGCTTCTTCCAACAGGATGACGGAGCCTCGGAGAGGGTCAAGGGCACTAGGTATGGAGCATCCGTACTGCAACTGTGCAAACCGCTGCCGCCCTCCCTCCTTGCTACGCAGTAGCCCGACCCTCTCTCGCGGCTCGCCCTGTCATGGACCGCTGGGGTTATGGTCCGTTGGTTGGTTGATATAAATCCATCTCGGTGCCCTCGATATCGGGCCGCTTCCTCTTTTTGTTTCTTGACCCCCATCGCGTTTTGTACACAGCTGGCCGCTGATACCACACTCCCTTCTTGTTCGTCCTCTTTCTTGAACGAACTTTACATTCCTTATACCCACCAGAGCCAAACAACTCTTCGTCAGTTCGTTTGCTCCTTCAGTCTCTCTCGTCTAGCACGAAGTCACTGTTGAACAGTTCCACTCCTTGAACAAGGCAAAGCCAAGCGCTTACACCAAAGCAACAAAACCACCAACTACATTTCAGTCCTTCATTCGATATCTTCGATTTCGACTTTCTTCAGCAGGCCTGCTCTCAGCTGTACACAGAAACCCATCTTTTTCGGACCTCGACGTTCTTTCTTGCACAAAAAACGCATCATCTCATCTCAGGATACCCAACTTTCAGCCCATCAAAATGAAGTTCTTCACCACTGCCCTGGCCATGGCTGCCGCTGCCAACGCCCACACCCTCATGTCCAAGCTGTACATCAACGGCGAGTCCCAGGGTGATGCTACCTGCATCCGTATGCCCAAGGAGGGAGACACCGCCACCTCCCCCGTTGCCGGTCTGACCAGCGACGACATGGCTTGCGGTAAGCTACTACCACGCCTTCGTCCAGCAACAACAAGCCTGGGCGCTGCTCACTTTGGTATTCACATTTACTGACATCACCCACAGGCAAGGACGGCCAGATCGCTGCCGCTTACACCTGCGCTGCCCCCGGCAACTCCAAGCTCACCTTCGAGTTCCGCCAGTGGCCCGATGCCCGTGCCGAGGGCTCCATCGACCCTTCCCACAGGGGTCCCTGCTCCGTCTACGTCAAGAAGGTTGACGACATGACCACCGCCGCCGCCGGCCCCAACTGGTTCAAGATCTGGGACGAGGGCTACGATGAGTCCACTCAGCAGTGGTGCACCGACAAGCTCATCGCCAACAAGGGTCTTTTGACCGTCGAGCTCCCCTCTGGTCTTCCCGCTGGTTACTACCTCGTCCGCACCGAGATCCTCGCCCTCCACCAGGCCGTCAGCCTTCACGACCCCCAGTACTACGTCGGCTGTGCCCAGATCCACGTCTCCGATGGTCCCTCCGGCGCTCTCGAGATCCCCTCCCAGTACTCCGTCAGCATCCCCGGCTACATTGACGGCTCCGAGCCCGGCAACAACTTCAACCTCTACGACAACCCGCAGTACCCCTACCCCATCCCCGGCCCCGAGCCCTACAGCCCCGTCGGCACCGCTTCCGCCAGCGCAAAGTCCACCTCCTTCGAGGGCGGCGTCCCCGCTGACTGCCTGATCAAGAACGCCAACTGGTGCGGCAAGGCTCCCGAGGCTTACACCACCCAGACCGGCTGCTGGGCCGCTGTCGACGCTTGCTACGCCCAGGGTAACGTGTGCTTCGACTCCGCCCCTCCTACCGGCGCCGCCAACTGCTACGTCTGGAACGACAACATGTGCAAGGGCATCTCTGCCCAGTGCACGGCCGGCAACTGGCAGGGCCCTCCCACCATCGAGATGACCGCCAAGACCGTCGCCGCCCCCGGCGCCATCCCCGCTGCCGTCAACCTCAACCTCCTCGGTGGCTCCGCCAACACCGCCGCCGCTGCCGTCGCCTCCGCCACCCCCTCCAAGACCGCTGTTGCCGCCTCTTCCTCTGCTCCCGCCGCTACTCCCACAGCTGAGTACGCCGCCGAGGACCCCGTCGCTACCAGCGCGCCCGCCGCCACTGTCGCCCCCGTGACCTCGGCCGCCCCCGTCCCGGCTTCCACCTCCGTTGCCGCCCCCGCCGCTCCTTCCGCCTCTGCTCCCGCCTCTGGCGCCCTTGTCCCCTCCACCGACGGTACCTGCGGTGGCAGCACCGGCTTCACCTGCGAGGGCAGCTCCTTCGGCTCCTGCTGCTCCGCCGCCGGCAAGTGCGGCAGCAAGATTCTGCAGTGCAGACCCTCTTGCGGTTGCCAGACCAAGTTCGGTCTCTGCCTCGAGGCCCGCAGCCTGACGAAGAGCAACTAAAGCAAAGCAAGCTTAGTTTCTTCCTGACCCACACCAACCTCCATCAAACTACATCACGACATCAAAACAACATTAGAACGTGATCATGACGACGACATGAAAGAAACCCCCCTTCTTCCATCAGTGGATTCAAAAACTTCCTTCGCTTCGCTTTTTTCTTCGACGAGTCTTGCTCTTTTTTACCAATGTGCATCACACATGCATCATTATCTTCATTAGGGGGCGGAAAACTTTTGGGGTTTGGTGACAACACATACATCACGGCCGGGTTCAATGGTGTTATCTTTTGCGAGTGGGAAAAAAACAAATTACATCGGAACAGGAAATCATGGGCATTGCTTGGGTAACTTCTGGTGTTTTTTGTTATGTGTCATTCTTGTATATAGTGTACAATTCGATCATAAACAAATATGGATCTTTCAAAGTTTCATTTGTCTGTATAATCGCATGTGATTCCGGAATCGTGATTAAATGTGTGTGAAACGTCCACAACTACAGGAAAGTAGGGCCATCTCCTGAACCGAGAGACAATGACTTCCACGGATTGGTATTCTCGCATTGGTTGGGCCATCGGCTATTCCTTGGGAGGAACTGGAGGTTCCTTGTGATCACAGATATGCATATCTCTACAACTATATAGTTGTCGAAAACATAGTCGCTTGCCCGTCGGTAGTACGAGAGTGTTCACCGGAGAATACAGCGGAACCGCGCGCCAGACAGCAACAATGATGTCTCTCAATTGTTTTGTGACGGTCTTGGGTTGATCGGCCCTGCTGCTGTCGCTTCTCGTGCGTGCTGGCTGAAGCATTCCCCCGCACATTGACAGCCACGGTCTATTTCATCGACTCGTGTCCATCCGCGGTCTCGGCCCAAGCTACCTTGACCAGTGGGTTTTCAGCCCGGGAATTTACGTCTGCGAAGAAACTTGGTGAGTTCAGAAGAATCCTTGGGCCGTCCATTACATTATCTACAAAGTTTCCTCCCCGTCGTTGAGACCTTCCAGATGGCGAAGTTTGTCTCACGACCATTTGCTAGCTATTTTACACTCGTCTTCTTAGCTTGTCCGTCATGAGCTCAGTCTTGAACACATCCTACTCGACGCAAGCATGGTTGTCGGTTCGACGCCTTGGCGGATCGTGCGCGTTGTCGTCGAGGTACCAACCGCCTTGATCGCGAGTATCGATGCAGCGGTTGACGGGTACTTTCATAGTCTTGAGGGTTTGGCGGATTTTGAATAGCGAAGACTTAGAACGTTTGGCGTTGGGCTCTCCCTTTGTTTTTTCCCTCTTGAACCTATGTTCCCATTCTTCCCATTCTTTGCAGTCTACGGAGTATCCGCAACGTGGGAGTTGCTTCGGGAAGGCCGACTTGTGGTGTATTAATAGACTGTGAATAAAGTTATCCCGCCGGCTGTCTGAAGTTGTCGCGCGCCTCGTTATTACTCGTGACACCTTGAATCACGAGACGGATTTCAGATGAACTAGGCACTCAAGTATATGAGCACCCGTTGACAGATGAACTTGTTGTGCGAGGCCCAGACCGTTATGGTTGGTTATGAAGAATGTCTGTTGTAGCGCCGGGTGATCTGGGAGGTATCGTTTACAGAAAGAAGTAAATTCCCGCAACGCCATCCTGTCATTCCTGGCCGCATGTTCATTGATCGGTACTATTGAAGAGTGCCTTCTCAGTCTTGCATGAGTCGTTAGATTCAACCGCTCTTTCAAGCTAGCTGACCGTGCCACCCAATATGCCGTCGTCCTCCCCCAAATACGATGCAAAAGTTCGTTCAAGGACATCTACCCCCATAAGGTAGTTGCCAAGAGTCCAAGATACGTGTATGGGCGTTCTTGACGGGCATTCTTAGGGAGTGCAGCTGAATCCGAAAGGGCCATTCTTGCAGAGCCCCGAGGTGACGCGAGTGCCGCCAGGCTGTGTATATGAGAGATTAGCACAAGCGAAAGGCCTGAGGCTTTGCCATTGATCTGGTAAAGGTTGGGTGTGCTTACTGAGTCCTCGCAGGTGACTTTGCAGGCTACGCCGACATTGTCCTTGGTACAGTCCGGTACCTGTTTGCACTTGCTACTAACTGTCTGGATCTGGGCCGCGGCCTGGCCCACGAGGATGGCGGCGGCGAAGACGAAGAGAGATTGGAAATGCATGTCTCGTTTTGTTCGGTTTTGGTGTAGATGGTGGAATAAAAAGCTGGAGTAAAGGCGCAATAGAGTTTACAAGAATGAAGAAGGAATCTCGGAAAACAAGAGTGCGGGTTCTTGTCTCTCTTAATGTATTCCTTCAACGACTCCCCACTTGTCTCTTTTTTCCATCAAGCGATTATTGTTGCACGGCCTGATCGGCATCAAATTCCTTGATGAACGTGTGACGTTCGGTATCCCACATGGTGGATTTAGATTGAAACTTCTGCTCGCAATTTAGAGTTTCCCCTGTTGAGTGCTCACGGTATTGTATACCATGAAGCTTTATTATGGTATGTTTGGGTACGTAGAGGCATTATCGTGGCCTTGGTGGCCGCTTGCGCATTGTGGCTGGGGGTGTCATGCGAGTCATAGGGCGGTCGACTTGGCTGGGTATTTGGAGTGGGATCTGCTTCAACGGGTCAGAAGCTAGGGGTCTCCAAAACCTCGGAATTCTGTCTGTCCATAATCTGGTCCTGATTTAAGTTTGTGGTATTGACTTGCTTGTCCTTGGGAACTTTGTTCATTCTTCCAAGAGACTTTGACTTCAAGATGGATGATGGGATGAACCCCCTCCGTACTGAACGTCCAGCCGATGTCCATCGGCAAACTCACGCAGTCACTGAGGCAAGATGAACACCAAGACAATCCTAAGTCGACTGTCAACATGGAGAGGAACTTATATAGGCTCACAACAGCCCTGTACAAATAGTCTATGCGATGGAATCTTTAACTCGGAATAGTCACCAAGCCCACGCGTAAACGGCACGGCTGCACATGACTCAGCTTCCGACAAAGTTTCATGTAGACGAACGCCTGGCGACAATAGTGTCAAGGCCGACTAGCCGTATTGAACACCTCTACTCGCCCCGTCTGTTTCGTATGAGAAAAGCTGAGGGTCATACGCGCAAGTTCCATGTTGCTCGCGGGCCTCCCGATCGCCTTGAAAGCCTGGGCTCTGTGCAGAGGTCGATGCTGTTGAATGAATGCTGAGCGCACAGACGCCATAGAATTGGAAAACCTGACGAAGGTGCCAAAAGAAGGCGGTGATGTTTGTGACATCAGCTTTGAGGTTTCGATATAGCTTAAGCCATGCTGAGGTACGAAACGGGGGCCGTACTGCTGGTAAGCCATGCAACAGCTCTACGAAGCTGCTGGTGACAGGTTTTACTTGAAGGGCAGCTGCACCCCGTCCTAGGTGTTCAAATGAAGTTTTGCCGAGCAATCGCTCCTCTCAAAGAAGTTCTTGAAATGATGGCTGAGTACTCACCGATGAGCATGTATCGAAAGTTTCCGTCCCTTCTGACATCGAGAATCTAGCGACCAAGGATCTGCCGCACGTCAAAAAGAACAGAAGATGGCGGACACGGGACGCAACATGGACAATTCTTTGTTTAGACAGCCTATCGCGTAGCATATATTCCCGCATCCCGATCGAGACAAAAGTTGAGGCCCCCGTCTCCGCCATACCCATCCCGGAGTCGTCGTCCCCGGTGAGCACGTGCCTCCCGTCTCCGGCCGGCCGATTTTGGCCCACACACGGCAGAGCTTGTCTCCCAATCGGGCAGGAAGCGGATGGTACGTAGCTACCTTGTGCAAGGAAGGGGGTTACATATCTCCTCACCAGGGTATCCTCACACACCCAGACAATGGAGGGGATCACGGGAGTACATAAGAATCGAAAGATCAACGCCTTCTTAATGAGCCAGGTCGAGCACGAGTTTGCGCTGCCCATCAACGAGGGCCAGCATGCTACGCTGTAGCATCCACTCGAGACGGTTTTATCCAACTGAACTGGATACAACTCATTCGCCTGCGTAAGGTCACTGTAATGCCTTACGATACACCCTCCCAGTCTGGCAGCGAAAAGATTGGCGGCTGCTGGTAGTGGCGGCCACATGGCGACACCTAGGCAGCTGATTGCATTGCTGCGTGGGACAGTTTGTGCGACGCCATCGATGCACAACTCTCAGACACTGATGATGCTATCACAGACCGGTCGTAGTCAAACCCTTTACTCACGCCCTCTGTGCTTGATATGGCATCAGTACCAGATGGCCTTGCGCGTGCCTTCTTGAACCGCGTGCGCCAGCCTCGATTCCGCTACATTGTTCCAGGCCTCTCGCTACCTCCCGCAGAAGTTGCCGGGTTCACGCGAATTGGGCTTGAGGCCGATGTAATTGAGTCTCATGGCCCATTTCCCAATCACTCGAATCTATCCCGAGCGCCAGCCGTTGTCCTCAGTGGGTCCGCCTCAAGGGACTCCTACGATAATGCCGAATAGGGGGTCAGACTAATGCTACCGTTCAGCTTATAGGGCAGCGTTGGGGATGAGGAGGGTGTAGCTAGCGCACGCATGAGCGACGGGTCTTTTGTCGAGGTAGGTAGCGTGGCCGAGCCCTTCCAGCATGGATATAAGTCATTTGGCGGCGACCAGAACCGCCTTCAACGTCTGCAAAGCCTTCTGGATCATCGGCATGGGCTGGGTGACGATGATGTCTGGGGTGGAGGGCTGCAAGGGGTGGAGGGGTTTTTTGCGGCTTTTCGGGAACACTGACACCACACTTTGGCGTCAATATCACAGCTCACCGAGTTGGTGATCTTTCATAAGAATTCATGGCTGTGTCTACTCACTGAAGAATACATGATGAGAAATGAAGGTCAGACATAATCGCCTTTTCAGAAGCACAATTCAGTTCATGTGGATGTCTAGCCACAGTTTCGAAGTAAACTATTCGTGCGTATTGCATCACTACTTTCATCTCCCATGATGGCACGGCGCTTGGTGACCTCGTCGCCGTTCTGACCGTAGAGCACGCCGCTACCCGTGTTGGTGATGCATGAAGCAACGAACCCTGTGCAGCAGTATGCCTGATAGCCACTAGCACAGGTCAGACCAGCCAGTTGAGCCCCCTCATTGTTGCAGTAGGAATTGCTATTACGCGCCACGATGGTGGCTTTGGCGTCACCAAGACAAAGTAAAAGACGGCATTGGTACTTTTTTCGAACATACCTTCAATAGGGCACATTATCGAGAAACTAGACATAGAAGAAAGCTGCTTTAGAATATCCATTTCCTTCTGTACTTATCCCAGCAGGCATACCGAAGCCCAAATCTTATGTAAAGCTGTGCTCTGGTGGCTCTTTATATATAATGTTTGAATCCGGTTGAACCCCTCATAAACCGCCATGCTACATAAGCAGAGGAATACAGCCCTTTCAGCATGCCAAAATCTA